GAATTACAACATTACAGGAACTCAACAGGCAAAATAGCCTGTTGTTGTACTAAATGTGATAATTATCCAAACAGATCAACAAACATCACTATATATATAGATATATATATATATATCTATATATATATATTTTTTTTTAATGAAACATACATAAGTACCCACCTCAAAGATAGTCATATAATAATCAACATCACAGGAATGGGCTCAAATCTAGTTCATTCAGTCCATGAGGTTCAATTGTGTTCAATTCATGAATCCAAAAAGCTTCCCTTCTCAAAAGTTGGTTAATCAAATTATTATTGGATTAGGACTCAATCTTTCAATGCCAATAAATTTAAGGGAAGTGGCCGAACCATGGTTTTTCTCTCTATAATGTCTAGCAATGGCATAATCCATGTTCCCACTTCTAATGGCAGCCTTATGCTCTGCCACTCTCACTTTGAGATTCTGTTTAGTTTGGCCAACATACATTAAGCCACATGGACATTTCAAAACATAGACAACATGGGTAGACAGAAAATTTTTATGAATTATTTTATGTTGTATTTCTTTTCTAAATGTGGATGGTTAAATGTTTTTGTGTCAAATGTGTTTGAACAATGTGCACATTTGCCACACCTATAGTTCCCATAAAGCTGTAGTGAAAGCCACTTAGTTTCAGTGGGTTCTTTATCATGGAACTGACAACAAAATCTCTGACATTTCTGCCTCTCCTGAAGCAAAAACAAGGTCTAGACACTGCTAAATGATTAAAATTTGGGTCACGTTCTTGGATGCTCAAATTATTATTTATAATCTGTTGAACTTGTCTAGAGATGGTACAATATTCAATATTATTCACAAATGTTGTTCTGTTTTCAACAGGTTTAGGGGAAGGCTTCAATAATTCCTTCCTATCTTTTCTATTAATTTCTTCCATAGCCAGGTCAATAACTGCTTGATCATATCCCTGTTCTCTAAACCGTCCTGCCATTTCTTTAGCCTTTATATGATAATCCTGTTCTTCACTACATATTCTTCTTAATCTCAGAAACTGACCATATGGTATATTACTAATCACATGGCTAGGATGGCAACTAGTAGTGTGTAAAATAGTGGTTTCTTAGCAATAGATAGATGTCTCCAGTTGTCTGTTTTCATTAGCTGTGATTGAAAGCTCCAGAAATTGAACTTTTGTAGGACTGTGAACCATAGTGAAATGCAGAGTTGATTGAGTGTTATTGATAATAAATAAATAAATCATAGTGCAAAACCAAATATGTTTTATGTAGCGACAATTTCTTGGCTGGGAGCAGTGAGTTCCTGGAGTCTCCGCTGGTTACCTGACAAGTAGCCACATCTAATTAATAGTCAGGCACATAACCCCCTGTAAAACTGAACACTGTTATACAGTTAAACAAGTGGTATGGATCTTCTCATCTAACCTTTAGCCGGAAAGCAAATTAGCGAATTTCCCAAAATGTCAAGCCTTTCCTTTTAAGTTGAAATTGATGATGTAGAAGTGGGTACGAAAGGAGACATTGTAATTTACAGCACTTCATTAGAACACTGAATATGTGTCTGAAGGTTTATTTTATTAAGTTTTTACATTTCCTCCCAGGTGTCTGAGTCTCTGAACCTTCTCCGGAAATGTGCTCCATTCTATCATGAAGGACACCTAGTGGAAACCTGCGTCGAGCGACCTAAACATGGCAGCTGCTCCTCCGTCCCATCCCGCTGTAAACAATCCCGCATGGTATTTCAAATCCTGCATTTCCTGGTTGATAAAGACTTCCTTGGACCGCAAACTGTTGAATACCAAATCCCTACACTGAAGTACAGCCTTCTGTTCTTACCCGTCGACAAAGGGGAACACATGCTGGAGATATACATGAACAGTCTTGAAGGCAGGGATCTGACGTACAACAACACGACTATCACCGGCATGGACTTTGGCATCAAGCAGACACTGTTCAAGTATTACCTGGCAAGAGATTCAGTCTACCCTGTCCTAGCTGTTGTGTCACTACTTTTCACTGTGGCTCTTTATCTCCACTCTCTCTTCCTAGTAGCATTATCTGTAATAGCAATCACAGGCTCCCTCCTGACCTCCTATTTCGTCTACAAAGTAGCATTTCGCCTGACATTCTTCCCCCTGGTCAACCTCTCAGCAGCTCTTATTCTCTTGGGAAGCTGCTCCAATCAGGTTTTCATCTTCGCTGATTTCTGGAATCTGCAGCTATCCCAGAACCCCTCAGCCTCCCTGGAGAAGAGAGTAAACAGAGCTTTGCAGGAAGTCGGCTATTTGATTTTAGCGTCAGGGCTGACCTCCAGTGCAGCATTTTTCTCCGGTTTTCTCAGCAGCATCACTGCAATCAGATGTTTCTCTGTTTATCTAGGAACTTCCTCATTTATCAGCTCGATATTGGCATTAGTGTGGCTGCCATGTTCTTTCATTCTGCGTGAGCGCTACACAAAGGCATCCTCTGCATCTGTAGCAGTACAGGGATGGAAACCGTGCTGCTCCAAAAACAACGGTGGCTTCTGGGACACAAGCTCCCGCAAGAGATGCCTTTTCACTCTTGGGCAGAAGCTGAGAGAGTTAAAAAGAGGTCTCACTGACACTTCCAACTTATTATTTATGAAAATCCTGCCGTGCGGAGTGGTTAAGTTTAGGTACATCTGGGTGTGCTGGTTTGCAGTGCTTGCTGCTGGGGGCACGTACATGTCCTGTATTGACCCAGGCATGAAGCTGCCCACATTAGACAGCATGGTCACCCAGCTTTTCCGCTCCAGTCACCCGTTTGAAAGATACGATGCCGAGTATCGTCACATGTTTATGTTTGAGAGACAGAGGAATGGAGAGGATAAACCTGTTACATTAATGCTTGTTTGGGGTGTCAAAGCAACTGATAACGGGGATCACTTTAACCCCAAGAGCAATGGCTCTTTGGTTCTTGACCCAGACTTTAACATGAGCCGGCCTGATGCTCAGGTTTGGCTGCAGGACTTATGTGGACGGGTTCAGAACCAAAGCTTTTATTCCCCTCCATCACCTGAGGACAAAGATGTTATGACAGACAATATCTGTCTTGTGGAGCAGCTGACACACTGGGTATCTGTGAGACGGTGCTCGGAGAGTGATGACTCCCTCCATTTTTGCTGTAATGACATCCCTTTCCCCTACCCTCCCAGCGTTTTTGAGAACTGCCTCAGTATGATGCTGGCGGAGAGGTATGCCGAGGGCCATCTGGCCCACAGCGGAGGCCTGTACTTCCAGCCAGATGGCAGGGTCGCCGCCCTCGTACTGGCATTCAAAACCACATATCTCTACAGCTTCAACTTCAGCAGAACCAGTTTTTTCTACAGAGAAATCCTGACATGGTTTAACAGAGAAATATCAGAAGCACCACAAGGGCTGGAGAACGGCTGGTTCATTAGTCATTTGTCTCTTTTTGACCTACAACAGACTTTAAGTTCAGAGACGCTAGTAGTAGCTGGCTTCTCAGTAGCTCTTACATTTGCTTTGCTTCTCTTAACCACCTGGAACATTCCACTTAGCATGTATGGGACTGCAGCTGTAGGAGGCAGTGTTTTTGTCACCGTCGGCCTCCTTGTTCTCCTTGAATGGCAGTTGAGTGGCATAGAGGCTCTGTTCATATCATCGGCAGCAGGGCTGTCTGTTGACTTTATAGCAAACTACTGCATATCCTATAGCTTGGCTCCACATTCAGACAAAATTGGGAAAGTAGCACACGCCACTAAAAGGATGGGGTGTCCCGTAGCAATAGTTTCTGGTGCATTTTTCTCCATGGGGATCATCATGTTGCCTGCCACGGCCTTGCTGATCAGAAAACTGGGGATTTTCCTGTTTTTGGTGAAATGTGTAGCATGTGGATTTGCAACCTTCTTTTTCCAGTCCCTATGCTGCTTTTTTGGACCCCAGAAAAAATGCGGGAAGATCACACTGCCGTGTTTTTCAGACAACACTGATGGCACGATGTCCTCTTGCTCGGCAGCAGAGCCCAGTTCTTCGTCAGCCTCGGCTGCTAACGGGGCATTTGGCAGATCTAGAGTGAGGAGGAGTTATGACAAAGAGGCAGGTGGCTATCTCTACCCCAACCACCAGCATCACCAGAGACAGAAACAGACTGGAGCAGGAGGGGGTGGGGGCCGAGGGCCAGAGCAGTATGAGCTGCAGCCATTGGCCTATCGATTGAGCGACAGCTTTGAAAACAGCACCTGCACTAGTAAGCTGTCCAATCGGCCCTCTGTGCTCTCTGATGAGATTGAGTACTGTGGGAAAGATGAGGGCAGGCACAGCATGGATAGGGACAATGAGGAGATCTGCCAAGCACCTCCAGCCCTCCAGACTTCATCTCCTTACAAAGAAAACACCCTGCGGCCTGTAGGCGCGGCACAAGAAGATGTAGCAAAGGACAAGCTGCTGTGTAAAACATGCAGAGATCAGTCTGGTAGGGTGAAGCACTGGAGCAATACATCCTTCTCCTCATCTTCCAGCATAGAGGAGACCATTATCAGCCACACACTGGAGACCATTGACCAGCAGTCTCTTTGCAAAGACGAACAAACCACAGAGGGGAGCCCCTATCACCATCATCGCTCCAATAAAGGGCACCTTTCCTCCCAGTCTCAGAGCTCCTGTGAGGGTCTGGAGGACTCCAACGAAACATGCCTGAGTGACATCGAACCAGGGCCTTCCACCACGCAGCGAAACGAAGGAGAAGGGGAGGCTCAGTTACAACCAGGACATCTAAACGGGAAGAGAGACACACTACGTCTCTCACTTAGAGAAACAGTTTATGAGACTTGTAATAAGGGCCGCACCAGTCAGAGTGAAGAAGTTGTCATCTTACCCAACAGTAAGCCAGATCTGCCAGACGTCTGGATAAAGAGAGATGGACAGCGGGAGGATACATGTTAAGCTAAGTTGGAGTTAACACCGTGCATTAATTGCTGTGAATTGATAAAAAAAGGAATCACTGAAACTACAAAAGGAGCATACACTGTTACTTTTAATACTCAAAGGAAATATAAGCCAACTGCAGATGTAACACGTGACAGCATGTTTGTCTAATGTTGCTGCTAAGGTTGTTACAGTGTATGTTACAAATGAATAAGGTCAGAGCACGAGTGTTTCTTCAGCCAGAGCATGACTTGTTCAAACCCAGCATTTTCAGACAGAAGACAGTGAAAGGTGAAGCTTTGTTTTCAGCCACAACTTTGCACCAATGTCACACCTGAAGAGACTGAAGTGTGTTGTCAACACGTAAATCATCAAGTGCTGCAGAATATACTTTGTGCCTGGAACTTTTTTAAACACCTGCACAGACTGGGTTATAAACAACAGCCGCTGGTCTTTCACCATGCTGGAATCGACCTTAATGAGCCATAAACATTCATGGACTTATGAATACTAAAAGATAAATGTGAGCTATACAGAGAAAGAGCTGCATTGAGTAGCAAACAACTGTCACTTAATTACAGTCAGTTGGTTTCGCACTTTATAGCGATATGTACAGTATGTCTTTTGTGACCATAACGTAGAAAACCACAAACCTACAGTTAGTAAAGTGTAATTTGTAGTGTCATGGCTTGTTTGCATTTAGTGTCACTGTCAAATTAAAAGTCATGATGTTTATTCCAGTGTCAGTGCCAAAAAATGTAATGTTTACTTAATGTACTTAAAGACAAAAAAGGTTTCTAAAGCAGATAAACATAATATGTGGGTTTATACGAAACCGAATTAAGGTGCATACTACTCCAGGATCCCTGGATGTCAGTGTATGCCTTAGTAGTAGGAAGCTCTAATTTCTGCTTCTAAGCAGTTGTGCTATCAAATGCCACTTTGTATATAGACCTTTGCTGCTGCAGCACTGCTAAGAAAAACTTCAGCAGAACATCTAAGGAACAGAAAGCCTCCACTACCCCCACCATCTCACAGCTGTGATGTCACATCAGCTGATTTTCTGTGTCTCAATAACATTAAAATATCAAACAGTATTCATGACAAGAACAGCATGTGCCAAATGTCTTTCAACTGGTTGTTTCAAATGCTGAAAAACTGAAACTGTGTGTTTTGTGCAAAAGATGTGTCCTTAAAGTCAAATAAGACGGGTCTATGTAGTGTAGTATGTAGTACGATGGTGGTTCTGATCCGGACAAGAAGGGAGTTTTGTCAAATGTGCATAAGAGCAGAGTTATTTTCAGGCTTTCTCCCTTTTATGAAGTGTTTGCTTTCGACATCTTGACTGTATAATGATAACTCTTCAATGAGCCTTGACTTTAAAAGCACTCAGAATGACCTGACAATTGAAATTAATATCACAAGCTTTTCTTTGAGCAGGAGAAATTAAAAGGTCACCACTACTATTATTTACAGGTGTCAATGTTGTTAATTTTTCACACACTGAAATAAAACATTTATTTTCCAGCAGACTGCCTTTTGTTTTTCAAATCTTGGTTGGAGCACCAGATGAATCACAGGCTTAGAGAATGAAATGAAATTAAAACTACAATGAGAATAAATACAACAGCGTTTAAGGCATAAACAGCTTGAAGCCAAAGGAAAACATATTTCTACATGATCAAATTTGGAGGAAAGAAAACTTTTGAGGCGTTTTACAACCACCTTCAGAGAAGTTACTGAAGAATTATCAATAGAAATGCATCACAGCTAAATCAAAACTGCCTGAAAGACAAACCTCTTACAGATTTTCTGGTCATATTTTAAAATGTCTAAAAAAACGTGCATGAGGCAGTCATCAGCAGTGTTCATCATTGTCAGCTCTAATCATCTTCGACCCAGTCCTCTTTGGCCCAATCAGGTAAACGTGTGGAATATTCAAAATCAGGTCCTTTGTAGCGTAAAGCGTGGAGATACATGATGAGTTCCCTCTTCGTAGGATCTGGTCGTACTAGCTTACATTCACTGCACAGGTGGTCGCTACTCCCTGGAGGAGTTTTGGGAGTCGTGTCAGTTGCTTCTGTTTGATTGCCGTTTGATTCTGCTGGTTGAGATTTGACCGAGGTATTGTTAGCGTTTAGGTCTGTGCAGCCCTGACTCACCTCATCCACTGTCTCACCGCTTGAGCTACAACCCGCTGGCGCCTGCACATCTGTCTGTGTTGGCTGACTTTCTCCACTGTCGTTAACTTCAGAGGTGCCATCCAATGTTTCTACTTTCTCAGAGGTCTTATTTTTCTCTGCCTCTTGCTCAATAACAATCCCGTCATCTGCAATATCCAGCAAGTGAAGACTTTCCTGAGAGCGATGTTCTGCTACCAGAGCCTGGACCAGCTCCTCATTACTCTTTCCCACCAGTCCCCCCTTCCCCCTGTGAGGACCCCAGGCTGAGGACCCATAGATGGGATCATTGAGGATGGGGAAGCCCAGGTACTGTAGGTGGACCCTGATCTGGTGTGTGCGGCCAGTCAGGGGTAAACAGCGGACCACGCTGGTTTTTCCATTGAAGGTAAGCCTCTGGAAGACGGTTCTGCACTCCTTTCCCTTCGGGTCAACTCGGCAGAGGCCGATTTTAAAGGAAACAACCAGGATGGGCTCCTCGCAGACCACCTCACCCTCTGGAAACTCCCCCTCCACTCGACACACATACTCCTTTTCAAGCTGTTAGGAAGCGCAAATGTAAAAGGATATTTTTGCGAATGATAAAATGACAATTCCTGTTATGTAATGCATTTTTTATGGAAACAGTAAGCTACAGTGTAACACCACAGAAATCTTTGTTTTAGTGATCGACCCCATCCCGAACGCACCTGTCTGTCTCGCACTAGCTGGTCCAGTTTCTTTGAGGTCTCCAGCGTCCTGGCAAACAGCAGCACTCCGGAGGTGAGCCTGTCCAGTCTGTGGACCGTGTGGAGCTCAGAGATACCCCGCTCTTTCCCTAGGATGAAAATCACTGTGTTGTGCCGGAAACGGCCGCAGGGATGTACGGGGATGGAGGCAGGCTTGTCGACCACAAGCACTTCACCATCATCCACCAGAACCTCCACGGGTCTGCCGACAACAGGGGGCTCATGGCGGTGCACTGTGTTCTTCATGTGGTCGTTATTCTGCGGACAGGCAGGGAAGATTAAGGAAGATAACTTATCACCTCCTGTTGTACTAGAACCAGCAACAGGTGACAGGTGTTTCAATCGGTTTAAACTAACAGGCGTTTACTCCATCTGCTTACAGTATTAGGATTTGATTTTGTTAGCTCTTTAATTAAATTGTTATTAAACTTCTGGCTCTAATTATTAAACCATGTTTGCAATAATGATACAATCATGTTACAAGTGACACTGACCCTGAGCACCACAGACAGGTCCTCCACAGGTGTCTCGTTCAGCCGGATGCGACCCTCTTTACAAGCCCTCTGGTAGTACTCTATGGACTCCGCTCTGAACTCACTCTTGAACACCTCCAGAAGGCTCTTCCCGATCCACCGACCTTTGCAGTAAGTTTTGAAGTCAAAGTAGTACGGACACACTTTGCGCAGGCCACCTTCAAAATAGTAGGAGGTCTCGTCGAAATGCTCCTGGCTGAAGCTGACACCGGGGTTCCGCTTCTGCGGAGGGGGGATGTATCTCTCGCCCGGTCGAAGCTTCTTCCCTCCCGCTCCTCTGCGCCTCTTTCCTCGGCCACATGTTCCGGGTTCGTCCGGCTCGTCGCTTTTTCGTTTGCCAGTTTCTGTCGCCTCTTTCGTTGTGGTTTTCTCCACCGACACCGGACAGTTTACCTCCGCCGGTGTTGCAGTGGCGACAGCCGCCTGCTCCATCGTCGATCTGCTCTGTTGACACCGCGGAGAAAGAAAAGGAGGATTCACAGGAGGCCTGCCGTGATATAACAATGTAACGTAACGCTGTACTTTGTTAACTACACGCCTATTAACTTTGGTTTGACCCGAGAAGAAATACAGCAAGTTACATCTTATAACTGACACACTCACGTGCATCGCATTCAAGGTAGAGGTCCTTCTCTCTAATGGCGCACAGTGATGACGTTAACTTGTAGTCCAATCAGTCTAATGTGTAGTTGAACCGTTCTTTTTTGTACTGGCAAATCACCTCCTCAATGGGGGCATTATCGCCACCAACTGCTCATAATGTGTATTTAGTTAGATTTTATGCTACATCCTGTGGATGACAGCAATTTCAATAATCTGAATTTGCTCCAGTTTTTGAAGAGTTTGTCTTTTATGAGAGGAATGAGCACTTTTGCGTCTCACTCTAGTTGCGGGTGTGGAATTCTCTGGTTAAAACATATGTAAAATGCTGATCAACGATGATTCAATATAAGAAAATGATGTGTGATATGTCTTGAAAGATTGATGAAAGTATTGGCAGACCTATTTGTGGTATGTAATTTATTTATTTATGTAATTATAGTAAGAAAGTGGCCGGCAATATAAGATTTTTTCTCCTCCATGTTCCTTTTCGATCATAAAATTTGTAGAATTGAATTTGTTATAGATCACAGTTTGTATTTTGTTTTGGAAGTGTACACTTAAGTGAAAAAATAATGTTTGCTTCTGCAGACATCATTTTTGTAAAAAATTATTACATCTCATTCTCTCATTCAAAAAATTAAACATTCCTTCCCTGTACCTCCTGCAGTCCCCTAGAGCCTGATACATTAACAGTAGGTAGAAAAATGACAAGAAAGCATCCATTTAGTGGGTTTTATTAATAAATCTTAAAAGTATACACATAATTCAATATTTTATATTTTCAACAAAAGTGCCTCAATTAATCAATTTTGGCACAATTTCAAACAGGACATATCCTACACGTACAGTTTATGAAGCGAGTAAGAAGAAGTTCATAAAATATATATTACTTTGTTAATTAGCTGATTTTTCATTGAAGTTCCTTGGCTTGTACTTGGGTTTGTCTTTGTATTACTGCATTCTTTATTCCCACAAGATTACACACAAATTCACCATGCATCTGAATTTCCCACAAGCATCCAGAAGAGCACATACTGTAGCTCCTGAAGCTGTAATTGTATTTTTCTCATTGCTGAACTTGACAGACTTAATATCATGTGAATGACTTTAATCTCAGACATCCTTTCTTTATCACCCACAATATCCCCTCTCTCCATCACTCTCTAACTGATTGGGAGTAAGGTCCAGCGGTGGTCACTCATTCAGTCACTCACTGGTGGAAGACAATCTGGTCAGGGAAAACAAGATCGCAAGATCCTCATTGAATGTTGCTAGGTGACAACCCAGAGGGGCAGGTGGTCTTTAAGACTGGAGTTCAATGAAACCAAGAGGAGTGCTATGGGGCCCCGGAGATGCAGCACCAACGCCACCTCCTGCAGGGGCAACCACACTGCAGTCAGAGCTCACCTCTGGGGAGAGAAGTAAGGGTGGCATGGACATCATCAGGAACAAGCTACAGGATGTAGGTGGATGTGACTTATGACTGCATACAAGACACTGAAGATTACAGATGCACCTGATGCAGGTAATGTTCATGAATAATGTGCGGGCTTTTTCAGTACATAAAGCGGTTTTCCTTCACTGATTTTTGGTTTTAAATGATTGCTTTGAAGTGTTTTTGTGCAATACCCAGGCCACTGACGCCTCTTGTCAGTCAGGGGGACGTACACCACTCCCATCAAGGCTTTCTTGAGAAATGTCCCGTCACTCTGCCGATCGTACTGTTCTAGCACCTGACTGCCACCATCGGGGCCCACTGGGAGAATCAACCGCCCACCCGGCTTCAGCTGCTCTAAGAGCTTTCACAAAGAGGGCAGAAAACAGAATATTCAGCTCAGTAAATCAAGGTGGAGACACTTCTGTCATCTGCATATCAAAGTTCCCTCACAGCTTAAAGCACTTGTCCATTTGTTTTATAGACCACTAACGGTTTAAGATTCACTTCACTAATGTACATATACTGCAATGTGTTTTAAATTGATCTCACTGTGACTTTTTTGTTGACATTGGTTGTAGTATGAGTTTTCCTATTCTATCCTTTTTACACAAGAGTAAAAGCCTTTTACGTGTTCTTACCGCTTTAGGAACAGTAGCTGCAGCTGCACCGACATGAATGGCATCATACGGCGCCCCGTCTGTGCAGCCGAGCCTTCCATCTCCCACTGTGGACAGATTTATGTTTGACTTTTAGTCGTTTGTAGCTGTGCCGTTTCAACATCTAAATCTGAAAGAGGCAGGACTTTGACACACCGTGACTCACCTAGAAGTTTAATGCGCCCAGAGGTGAGCAGTTCTGGGTCGTCAGCTTGCACATTTTTTATAGACATTTGAACCAGTTCGTCGATGTGTTCAATACCAACCACTCTACCACTGGGTCCTGTCTACAAACAAGAGAAAAATGCAGATTTTGCTTAGTCATATATTGTATTTTTTGCCAACTTAGGCAAAAAACATCAAGTAATATGTGTATGGTAAGAAACATGCAAAGTTTATACAGAACTTACCATCCTTGCAAAGCAGGCAGTGAGATACCCACTGCCTGAACCCACATCCAGTGCTGATGCCCCTTCAGTTAGTTTGTCACTTAACAGCTCCAAAGCATGAGCATGCTGTCAAACGAGACCCATGGGAAAACATTCAGCCCATCAGGTGTAAATGCATAAGTGAATTATAGTTCATCTTAAGATATCTGCTCACATCTCAGAACTGTGCAGTGTTTGTTACTCACCATGTGTGGTGCACTGATGGTTGCTCTGTAGCCTGTAATGAAGAAAATATCATGATGCAGAGTCATAGCACACATCTGCGCTCATGACAACAGCTATTACTCTACAACACAATGTGTTCACTCAAATGTCAGTTACCGTATTGATGGGCAAGTGTCTGCACGTGTCTAAGAGTAACTGGAGTGAATACCTATGGACTGAGGAGAGTCTGCATAAGGATAGTCTCGAGAGTAGAGGCCTCTGTCTGTAGCCAGCATGGCATTAAACACTCGGTCGCTGCGAATAACTCCGTGTTCTGGAGGAGAAGAGAGTGAAATGTGTGCAGGATGAGCTCTGTGATGTTGGAGTCTGTAACCCCATTGATTTGTGTTTCCCCCTTACCTTTTAATGTGAAGGGAAAAACTAATTAATGCAGGCCTTTACAAAGAAAATTATGACAACGAAAGCATAGCATTGGGTCAATATTTAAAGCTATGTGGTATATCAATCAGATTTTGATAATTGTGTGGCAATTTGGTCATTGTAATATCATTATATAGCTTACGTGTATTCTTTTCCTCGTCTTAAAGTCTGCATTACGGTTGAGTGAAATATTTTTCTTAACTTTATAAATGCCTCTTCATTTACAAACAAAAATGGAAGAACAAAAAAGGGTACTTATCTTTTTGTCATTTTCCCTTCCTAAATGTTTTTGTTTTCCCTTTCACCTTTTAATTTAAGCTTTTGCATTACGGCTTTAAAGTTTAGCATTTTTATTTAAGCTTTTTTATTTTCCATTTGAACAGTTTAAATTTCTCTTTCCAATTTAAAAGTGCCATTTCACAGTATCCAGTTATCATTTCAATTTGCAGTAGCCTTTTTCAATTTCATTTTTAAAAAAAGAAAACATTTCAATATGCCCAGATAGTTGTGAGTAGTCCAATATTTCCACCACGATGCACCACATAATGCTATAGGAAATCCTTTTCTTCAAACTAAACAACTCATCTACCTAATGCCGAGAGATGGACTGCAGAGGAAAGGGGTGCTGAGGTGGCTCCTGCCTACATTTCAGCTCTGTTCTTTAATCTCTCTCTTTCTCTCTGAATTACTGTCTCTCCGTGAATTACAATCACTGCAACTCCCTGATTTACAGGAGTGATTTACCATTATTGCAATAATGGTTAATCACATGTAATATCATGGACACAATTATAAACAATCTGAATTAATCATATACACTGACCGATTTGATATTACATATCTATATGCAACCCACCAAAGATGATCCTTAACATTAACCTGTTTATATTTTGGATTTGTACCTTATTGAAATTTTATATTTCATATTTGCACTCTTCAGACTTTATATTGCAACTTCTGCACAACAGTTCCCTAGGGATGAATAAAGATCAGCCTTATCTTATAATAATCGTTTATCTGACCTTTTTTCTTTTAAGTGTAATTCCAGGTAAAATTACCCTCTATTCTTCTGAGGAAAGATTTACTCCTATCTGGTTAGCCAATATCCACGTTGATAGAGAGGATCACCTTAATTTATTATTAATACAGTGTAAAAGCACCAGCTGTCACACTCAGATATTTTTACATGTAGGACCTTGAGGTTTTGAGTCAAAGACCCTGTAATATTAATGCTGATGTTCCTGACATTACCCCTGAGCCTGCTGATGAGCTCTGGATGGGTTTTGCCACTGGACATCCACGCCATGGTCCGGGACAGTAGCACACCCATCGGGACTGCCACTACTGCCAGGCGCAACGCTGCTCGCATCTCCTGCACTGGATTTTCCTGCAGTGACATGATGATCAACGCTTGCAAACCTGAGTAACGTTACATTATTCACAACGAACTTGACACTTAGCCAGCAAGCCAGCTTCATAGTTTACAGCTTTACTAACAAGTTAACGTTACATTATAAACAGATAGTATCATGGAACAGCCTCAAATGCTAATGTCAGTTCCTCAAACATTGAATACTCACAAAAAATATATCAACAGAGGTCAGCAGAGCTTGTTTACCTTCGTACTTCCCCACCGTTCCTTCCAGCTGAGACAAACTTCCTGCCTCCCTCCTCAGGGAACCATAGTGCCTGGCCAATAAGATGCGGACTTGCCAACGTGAAGCCCTTGAGATCCAATCACAGCGCAAAACAGTTTGATGGGCGGTTACAACGTCCATTCATATGACACTAAATAAGGAAGTGGGCTGTCGCTAATTAGAAACTGAGGATCATGGATTGTGTTAGCTAGGAGCCTAGTCTTCAATCTTTAAATTCATACATTAGCGGAAAACAGCTACGATATTGAGAATTCCACACAGGTAAGATATATTTGTAATTTATTATGATGACTAACGATTTGAAATGCATTACAGTAGTCGATGAAGTAGGTTAGACACCAAATTAGCTTAAGTATGTTGATGTAACCTAAATTATACTTTGCTCTTTGTATTTGCAAATCTGCGTAACGTTAGTTTCCCGTTCTGGTTTTTCTTTAAATGTCTCCCGGACATGCCTCTTTTAATTTAGCCAAAAGAATCCGGCCTTAAACAAAATGCAGCTTAAGTTAACTGATGTTGACATCTGTTTTTACTCGTGTGTAAGTTACACCAGAATGGTCGACGACTTCGAGAGTCAGGAGGTCCGGTCGAGCGGAGAGTTGTGGTCAGAAATCTGCTCCAGTCTGCCGGAGGTGCGAGCTGAGGCAACCCCGGAGAACAACACGGAGTTTAAGGACTCATTCCAGCCAGCAGCACAAGTCGGAGTGCAGGTCAATGGACAGTCAAATGGGACACATAACGTTACTAGTTCTTCTGGTGACAAATGGGAACCCATGGAGGATTCGGAGATCTATATAGCCAGTTTAGGTACAGGCCTGCCCCTTTTTGCCCCTCTCATTACTGTAGGCCCCACGTCACATTTAGCTCACCTTGTCTTCTATCCTCATGATCATACATCTATCTCCACCAAGTTGTATGGACTGTGGGGATGATAGGCTTTCAAAGTCCATCACATTGAAACACAACGTTCCTCCATGTTTTATTCCCCAAATATTTTCAGCTGTTTTGCTTTCTTCAGGGTTGTTTAAGGTTTCCCCACATGTAGTCCATCAATTTGTCATGTGAAATCACCTAAAATACTGCATAAATAAGACAGTTGTCTTTTTCAAAATAGTTTTTACAGAATACAATATTGACTTGAAATAGAATAAAAGGTGTAGAAGACTCAGCAGAGGTGGTAAGCCACCCAGATCCTGATGTGTTTTGCCTTGTAGATAATGGTCTAAACATTAGCCACACACTTGTGTTAATGTTTTATTTCATAAAAGTGTACCTTGTCGTTTCTGAGGTTAATTAGGATGGTCAACATGTGGTGGGAAAACCAGCAAGAAAAATTTAAGTGACAAAAAACATTACATCTTTATCTGTCTTTTGTACTTGTAATGGTTATCTTGTATACCTAGTATCTCTGGTGAGTTAGAACTAATAATTATGACTAATTCATTGCTCAAGTTGAAGCTGCTTTTTTCCCTTGGAAAAGTTCTACCTTATCTCAGTGTTTAGTCTGTTAATCAGTTAGTCGATTGACAGAAAGAAAAACACATCTATTTTGATTATGTGTTATTTTCAAACAAAAAATGACAAACATCAATTTTGCTATTTGTCCCTGTCTTTTTCAGTGTTAATTAATATTTTTATATTTTACAGTAGTGTTTGGGGAGAACAGCGATTTTTATATCATCACATTGGGCTTCAAAAAACTGTGATGGACATTCATTATTTTATAGACTAAATGATTAATCTCCAACAGTGTAATTATTGAGACAACGATCCTCAGATTAATCATAAAGAAGATAATCATGTAACTTTTGACTAATTGAATAATTGATTGTAAGAGAGAGAGAAACAACCCCATGTGCCACCTTAATGATTGCAGATTAGCCAAAAACGTTTGGGCAATAAAGCATGGTATTACTGAGAGACATATTTCATTTTGATGGCCTCACACTGGTCTGCTGCCCCAAAATTTAGATTTAAGATGTAAAATACAGTTGTTGTTTTGTTTGTGTCTACATTGTGGTGCAGAGAACCGCCTGAAGAAACTAAAGGGCCAATCCAGTGATGTGACGTCCAGGGACATGTTGCGCGCCTTGTCTCAAGCCAAGAAAGAATGCTGGGATCGATTTCTCCACGACGCCCAGACCTCAGAGCTCTTCCAAGGCGGCGACATGGATGAGAGGTAGAATGGGAGGAATGAATTATGCTGCTACACACACGTACTGCATCCTACTACATTTAAATATATATCCAACTTAAGATGTTGCAGGAAAAACTCCACTGTGGTTCTCTTTCTTGTACTATGCTCTAAATTACTGGAGTTTGTGTAATTTGCTTTTCTAGACAACAGAATTACTTCAGTTTGTGTTGCATGGATAATACAGGTTTCCCATGAAGTAAAGAGCGTGAAATAAACCCCATCTCATCATTTGATTATTTGTGTACCTCCCCTTCCCCCAGTGCTATTGAACACTTCAAGAGGTGGTTGGTTCCTGAAAAGGTGGCCATCAGTGCGGAGGAGCTGGAATATCTCCTTAGGCCATCTCAGAGTAAGGAAGCAGCTGAACCAAACCAAACACAGAATGGAGAGGACACGGAGGGAGAGATGCACAACTGTGAGGAGGATGACTCACACAGCCCGGAGAAATGAGCGTGTTAAAAATAACTAATTTGGCGTGCATTCAGTAGGGGTGACTTGTTACAGGCCTGCCTCCTGCCCCTTGTTACCCCTCACGCCCTCACGCTCATTTAGAGCTGCGTTATGTCACGGCAGTGTTTTGGCCAAAGCTTTTGTTAACGGCAGTCAAAGAAGCAATTACAGCCTGTCATTATCCTCTGTATCCCCAGCAACTGAGTGTTAAGTACTTATTCAGTCACACTTGTTTTGCCCTTGCTAATCATTCCCTCAACCAGATCACACGTGAAAAAAATATATAATAAAGAATTTGAAATTAGTCTTGTTTCTGGCAGCAGAATTTTTATCTAGTCTGTGTGGTGACTCGCCATATCCGTTGCAAGAATGGCTCTCTACTTTGAATGTGTATGTACAGGCTAATGAAGGACCACATGCAGTATAATGTTGTAAATTAGACTCGTATGACGTAGGCACTGCATTATCTTTCAGAGACATTATTTCTTTTGTGTTTTTAAAAGTTGTGACATTTGAGTAGGAGTGTATTCCTGAAAATTTTGTAACATTGTGTAACATCTTAATTTTTGCCATGTTGAATCTACATAAGAACTTTTACCTGTGTTTCAATAAAAATAAGTAGAATGGATTCTGATCATTTGTCTGCTCTTTAGCTGTGTTTAGCTAGACAGGTGCAGCTGAAATGCAATTAACACTGAATTTTATGCGTGAATGCACTTCTTGTGAGGACCAATTTGAGATTTAGACTTTGCGAGTGCAAGGTGTATTTATGATTTTACAGCAGGGTTGTACATTGAGATGAAGTTTGTAATTCCCCTAATGCTGCTCTCAAAAGCAAACGATTTATAGCAAAATTATACACAAAAAAAAAACTATGGTGCAGTGCTGAGGATGAATTTAAGAGTCTCTCAGCCTTAGCGGTTAGTGGTCTACCTTTCTGACTGCAGTATGTTTAGATGGCAGCAAAGAACCACATTTTATTCACTCACAAAGTGTAGTAGATCCCATTTTACCAATTTTACATGTTGAAGTTAATTTACTAGTCACAGGGAGAACCACACCGTAAACTGTAAACCAGATTCATTATACAACAGGTTTAAAGACATAAACATATTCTGCTTGGGATAATAATTTATGTCCTGATGTAGTTTAACCCACAATTATTGAGTAAAACATTCTTTAAAGGGGTCTTTAAGTCTGAGAAAAGTGATGTCGCCCTGGTATCTCTGCTTGAGCTTGAAGACTACATATTTTTAACAGTTGTCAATGGGGGGTTGAAGAGTTGAAGAAGCGGGCTTTTATCAGGCAGGAACACAACTGAGTTGCGTTATGGGAAATATAGTATACAACCTTTTTGAAGCTTGGCCCATAGGGGCTGAAAGGCGGCCTCTGCTGCATCAACTTTGATCATTTTCCTTAAAATCTGTCTCTCCCAAGTCATTGTAGTTCCTCAGTCAGCCCATGGAGGCTCACTAAGAGGGATCACTTGAGGGACTGCAATAAAGGAGGAAAAGTTCAATTTCATACTAACTAAACTCCTCAAAAGTTTGAAAACTGGTAATAAAAAACATTAAGTTTGACCTTGAGTTTACGCTCCCTTGCTGTGTACTTTATGTGCACTCAGTTGTCATTTTGTTATGTACGCCAAACTCTAGTCTACCTTCATTGATGTGAATTAAGTGGATAAAATAATAGAAATACTGCTTGGAATGATGCAATACTGTTCAACTGCACCCCAATCTACATTCTCTAAAATGAGCACAAAGTTAAACCAAAATTGAGTTTTCAGCAAAAACTGAACATTATAACCTTCACAAAGCTAAGATTTATTGCAAGACTGTTAAATTAGACTATACGTTTTAGCTCAATGTATCTAATCATTCATTCTCTAATGTGAATCAGTTTCATTTGGGGTCCTTTGGGAACCCCTTAATTAGCCTGCTATCTATCTTCTAGCACCCAGATGACTGAATGTGTGAAATCAGTTGAATGCACACAAGTAAAACAGTTTTTGTTGTCTAATTTTTCATTCAAGTGGAGAACAAATTCTGCCTGACATAATGAAGTGGACTTCATTTCACGTATTCTGGAGGATGCTTGCTTTAGCTATTTTTTCAGAGAGTAAAGTTAGTAACCTGCCGACTCTCCAGGTCTCACAGAGCCATGCTTTGGGGTACAAGGTTGGATTGGGATGACAAGATAATAGTGTGAAGCCCCATATGGAAGGAAATTTAAATTTGATTGGCACCCATCCTCAGTTAAAGTGTAATTTTCATCTCTGGAAATTATAATTCATAAATATTGTTCAGTTTTCAGAGACTGATGATGGTACTCCTCCACCACCAAAAAAATTCCTCTCAGCAAGGTCCCCTGTACATGAACAAAATCCCAGCCCAGCAGGCCACTCAACCTGTTCAAGCTGTTGAAACGGTCAAAAACTTTTGTAATAACACAGATAAACAGGCAAGGAAAAACATCTCTAAAGGACCAAAAGGTACAGAAGACAGAATACTTCTCGGTGGGATTTGCTGCCACTTTCACATTAGTGATCCCAACTAGGACACAGAAAATGAGGACCAAGACCAAGAACTGTTTTCACCTAGCACAAAACATCAGCAAAGAGGAGCGGATGGTTGCAAGCAATGCCCAGAAAAGATACCCGGAGTACATGAACAGAAAACCAACCAGATGGGGCTTCAAGCTCATTGTGTTGGCAGACAGTAGCAGTGGATACACAGTTGACTTCAATGTTTACACCAGAAAGTCGGCTTTCCCTTCAGAAGTTGGATTGGCTTATGCCACAGCAATGTCCCTAGTAAAGCTAGGATATCTGGGAACTGTATATTGTGTATTTGTTGACAACTTTTACACAATCCCAAATCTTTAAAAAATACATCTTGCTATGAACACTGAGGCTTTGGGGAGTTAAAGGAAGGACTGCTCTCTCTCAGCATCCAGTGCCCTCAAAAATATAAACAAAAACGGTCTCCAAAGGGCCCTGCGATGGACTGGCAACCTGTCCAGGTTGTACCCTGCCTTTCGCCCGATGTCAGCTGGGATTGGCTCCAGCCCCCCCGCGACCATGTACGCAGGATAAGTGGTTGACGGTGGATGGATGAATGGATGGATGGTCTCCAAAGGCACCATTAAGTGGCCATGTGACGGCCCACTTGTGTTTGTGAAGTGGGCACACTGAGGTTGCTTTCTGCGCCACAGTGCATGTGGCGCCCTCAGATGACACAGTGCAAAGGAAGGTTAAGAGATCCACTGTGGCTGTCCCATGCTCCACAACTGTGTTAGAGGATACTAAGCACATGGTGTGGACACTACTATGTTGTCCACCATAAGACCCTTAGGTGGTACTGCACACCGCCAGAGAGAGTAAAGAACAGCCCATGACCTGCCTTCTTTGAGGAACTCACAGTCCAGTATTTCTAATTGAGATTCCAAATTTTTTTTAAATTAATAATAAATAATAGATAAATATATTCCATGTCCTCCATCATCATTGCCATCTTCACAATCAGCCCTCTGTTCCCCTTAAGTAGCCCTATGCTAATGAATTTTGTCCTGGATTTTTGCAGAGACTCACTTGATGAATTATCTCTTGCTGTTTTTATTATTTAATTTTTATTTATCTGGCACCAAGAATCATAATTTTTAAATTAGGATTTTTGTTTTATGAATATTGTAGATGTGTGCTGATGGGGAAAGAGCATGGATTACCTCTTAATTTCTCAAGTTCTGATCTGTTCCCTCATGTTGGTTTCTGGGTGTGTTTGTCTAGAAAGTGGCCTCATTGTGAAGAACTTCACAGTTGGAAATATAGGAGAATGAATATATTAAAATGGATCACTTAAATTGACTATATGAAACCAAAGACGCATTAAAAGTCCCAAAAGGAAAATTATGTGGCAGATAAACCCATAATTTTCCATAAAATAGGGAAAGGTCATTATAAATGTACAATTTATTACCAGAGCGGTCCTGTAGTTCCCAAGAGGACTATCATAGGAGATTATGATGATTGTTAATTGGGGGTGGGGGGTGGGGGGTGATATTGAGCGAGACTGACATGACAGAAAAGCCATCCTTTTATTTTTTTAGTTTTTACATTAACTGGAGGTGACTCACTCACATGAGCACGCACTGTATGCTGTGTGTGTGTGTGTGTGTGTGAGAGAGAGAAAGAGAGAAAGATAGAGAAAGAGCACACCTCTCTATTCTGAAGCAGAGCGGTCTGCAGTGAGGAGGTAAAGCTGGGACAGTGGGACCCCTTAAAGACAGAGGACACAAACATGTGCTGGACTTTCCAAGTCATTTAAAACAATGTCTGACTGACGTCTCTCGGAGGTATACTTTCTTTTTATTTCTCCTTTTTTGTTAAGCTCACGCCCTCTGATAGCTGTCAAATTTGCATTTCATTATTTGTTGTGTATTATGGGCTTGAGAAAAATTGCTTGAGATTTATAAAAGAGAAAACAGCTGTGTGTTAATGATGTGCAAATTGATCACTGAGAATAACACAGTTCAGGTCAATGAGGCATTGAGCTGATTCAGGATGAGGAACTATTCCTTTTTTCTGATACTCTGTATGGGATACGATTTAAACAATCTTTCTTGGAAAATTCAGGTAATTTAGTAAGAGAAATACAGTAATTATTATGATAAATGCTGTGTTCAGTGGGTGTGGCTCAGCTTGAGTAGGTCATTAAAAAGCACTTATTCACACTCTACAGTAGGCCAGCAAATTTACATTTATAGAGGAACTTGGAATATGGCTAATCTGACAGGGTTCATTTTGTTGAGTGTTTGTTATTTGTGAAGACACAGTGTGATTTATTGTTTTTTTATGAATGAAACTGACAAAACGAGAATTCTCTGCAGCCAGTGATGATGCCAAAAATTCCCCCAAAATGATTGCCATTCAGTATGCATTGTATTGCGCCAGGCGATGAGTATTTCTTATTGCTCAGTGATCACTGGATCCTTGACGTCAGTGTAGATTACATGTACAGATGTTTCGGCAGATGTCCGTGATGACAATCTTTGAGAATCGGACTCTCAAGATGTTGTCTCTGCTGTATATGGCAAGAGCTAAAAGAGAGAAGAGACAAAAAGAAGCTCATATGGATCGGCTGGATGATTGAGCAGATGAGAGGCAGAGAGAAATAAAAGGTGATAAGTGTATCGTGAAGAGGAGGAGATGTGAAGATGAGACAGATGAAAGTACGTATGTATAGCTGAGTGGGTCTTGCAAGCTTTTTAATGACACTGAATGACTGGGAGTTTTGAAGATGGTTACTAATTAGTCTGTCTGATGTGACTCACATCTTCAATCTCTCTCTACTGTTATCCCTTTTGATTAATCAAAATGTTGAAAATATGGTGTTAAATGAGATAAATATGATTCTACATGTAAAACATGCAGCAGGCTATTTGGAATGATCTCATAATTAATTGTTATTCATATTCAGGCTTCTGCTGCTATGGACTGGGAGAAGCCATTGAACCAATCCAGGGTGAATTCTTCCTCTCCATCCATGTCTGACTCTTCATACACCTTCTCTTCCCCCTGCTACAACTCCTCTCACCCCCTCTTCTCGACCGCTCCGTTCTCAGCCCCTTCTTTTTCTGGCCTGGACCTCCTGTCTGACCTGAAGCTCGTCTTCATCCCTCTCTACTCGGCCGTGGTCCTGGTCGCCTGCTCCGGCAACCTCCTCCTGATCTTTCTCATCTGGCACAACAAGAAAAGACACAACACCACAAACTTCCTCATCAGCAACCTGGCACTCGTCGACCTGGTCATGTGCATCTTCTGTGTCCCTTTGACTGCATCCTATGCTTTTGACCAGCGTGGATGGGTATTTGGTACCCACATGTGTCATTTTGTCACTTTCATGCAGTCTGCAGCTGTCTACGCAGCTGTCCTGTCCCTCATGGCCATCGCAGTGGATCGTTATGTGGTCGTGGCTTATCCCGTCCGTAAAAGAGCAGGGGGCCATTTCTGCTGGGGTCTGGTGACCCTGATCTGGCTGTCCGCTATGGCTTTATCCACTCCTACAGCAGTACACACAGTCTACCTGGACCTGCGGGCTGCAGGGCTGCAGATGGCCGTGTGTGAGGAGTTCTGGGACGGCCAAGAGCGAGGCCGTCTCATCTACTCCTGTTTCATTCTCTTCTTCTCCTACTTTGTCCCACTGGCTGCTGTCTCCATTTCCTACTGTGCTATATCCTATCAGCTGAAGCAGAGGACGACGTCGGGACTGATGGCATGTCCAGAGTTGAGATCTGCAAGGGCTGCATGGGGCAGACGGAGGAGGAAGACCTTCTACCTGCTGCTGGTGTCTGTCCTGTGTTTCGCCTTCTCATGGCTCCCCTTGCAGGTACAGATGAATGGGGAAGAGTGACTGATGATTTGATAGATGAATAAACATGAATAAATTATTAAAAGTTCTTAATATTTGGACATTTTGAGAAACACACTTAATTGCTTTCTTGCAGAGAGTTACACTGCAGTCAGCAGCTGGTTAGCGAAAAAAATCCACCTACCAGCACATCTAAAGCTCACAAGTGAACAGGTTTCATCTAGTTTGTTTAATCTGTTTTGTTGAATTTATTAAAAAACCTATAAATTGCAGATTTACGGGGGTATGTGCCGGACAATTTCTTGCCTGCTACAGTGACTTTAAGGAGTCTTGTAATCAAACCAACTTTGGGCCCTGTAAAACCAGTTTCATTTCTACACTTTCATTTTTGTACTAATGAAACAAACAAGATATAATGTATATAATAATGAGCTTTAGAGGTGCTGTTAGGGGGATTTTTTACTAGTGGATGGAGCCAGGCTCTCTGTTTCCCGTTTCCAGTGTTTGTGCAAAGCTAAGCTAACTGCTGCTGACTGTAGGTTTATGATCAAAGTACAGATATGAGGTTAGCGTCAATATTCTCATCTTACTCTCTGCAAGAAAGCAAATCATCTTCAGACTAAAATGACTATACTAAATCTAGCACAGCATGTTACTTGTTAGAAGCTTATTAAAAAGTTTTAAATTTGCAAAGTGATCCGTAACTATTCCTTTACATTTCCTAAAAGATTAACAATTACTTATCACATAACTTTTTAATTGGATGAATGCTTTGGATAACATAGTTTACCTTTATAGGTGGTGAATCTGATCCGTGACCTGGACACAGACTTCTCCATTATGGGGAAGAATTACGTGAACATCATCCAGGTGTCGAGTCACCTGTTCGCCATGACTTCCACCTGCTACAACCCTTTTATTTACGCCTCATTGCACAACAAGTTCCTGTCCTACCTGTGTCACCACTTCCTGGCCCGGAGGAGAGGAAAAGGAAAGGATAGGGGTCAAGGTTCAAGCATCCTGACCATGTCACACAGATTGCCGCGCCTTCACACCTCCACCATTACGGCAGATTTACCGTGTGCTGTTGTAAATAACATTGGTCCACAAGACAACTACGCTTAAATTAATGTTTCAGTTGAATAGGCACGCAAATGTTTTCTTCAGCTCAGTTGGATAAAAGTCTCTTGCTTCAGAAATGACAAGGTATCTTCTTCACTCCAAATTTAATATGAATCTTGTCAGACTTCATACTGACAGACAAATTGAATGAAATGTAAGTTCATTTAAACCACACTGAAATTCAAAAGGGGTTTCAAGGCTTTCATACAACAGGCACAGTGTGTACATACGGTCATGGTCACATACAAAAATACAACTCTGTCTCTTTGACTGAATTCATACAGGTGTAAAAATATTAGCCTGCTTTGATTAAAATATTTTATGTGTGTATTGATTTATCCATCCATCCATCCATCGTCAACCGCTTATCCTGTGTACAGCCAATCCCAGCTGACATCGGGTGAAAGGCGGGGTACACCCTGGACAGGTCGCCAGTGTATTGATTTATATTCTTAACAAATGTATGGATGCTTGTATATTGAAAGTCTATTTAGCACTGAAAAATATGCCATTGTGAGCTTTAGCATATACTTTAGACAAGGATTTTGCTCGTCTTTGCAATTATGCACAATCAATTTTATATTTTTTCATCTAATTGTGCATATTCATATTCTTGTGCATTTCTAATACTGTACATCAACGTTATGGCATGTTCATGTATATACAACATGCTCATTTAAATAACTGTATATGTGTATTACATGTGCAACATTTGATCTACATTGTTAAATGTCTCTCAATAAACAGGTTTATTTAAATCATCTTCCCCTTCCCATTCATTGAATGTGGTTTTAGGGATAAAAAAGGAACATGAAGAGTTCCTGTGATGAATAATGTATTTCTGTTATTCAGTTTGGCCTTGAGCCACTCAACACTTTTCCCACTGTCTGCTGCAGATGTGACATTTGACAAACACAGCGCAGTATTCAAAATCTGTGTTTAAATGTCAACTTTTGGAGAGAGAGGAAAAAGCATCGTCCATGCTGTTCCTTAGTACATGTAAAACAGTGGAGTGAGTGAACATATATACAAACAAAGAGTTGGCACAAAGCTTTAGACCTTTGTGCCAACTAAATGCAAATAATGACAGTTAAGTTGAACGTCACACAGTGAAATAGGCAGAATTTGCAACATACAAATACTTTATACTACGTTTAAAAATAGGTGCATACATAGGTGCATTTTTCAAATTTTGCTAACCCACTATATGCACATTTTTACATATAATGTTGCTGCTGGGTTTTATCACTAGTATTACTGATTGTGGTTTTGACGACCAACAGCTCAGAGCAGCTCGACTGAAAGATGACTCACATGTACCTGAAAACAAGTGGTGAAAATTAGCAGTCTGGTGAGTAATACACCATTGCAGGGTTTCTCAGCATTTTCTGACCTGTCACCTCGTTTGTTAGTCCTGAAGTTGCCATGACCCCCAGCCATTGGAGAGTTATCAAGTTATAAAAAGTTGTAATTAACGTGAGTATGTCATTCTTCTGTATGTTCCTCTTTCATGAGCATGAATGCAGCTCCACATGGCTTATATTCTATGGATGTTAATGCTATATAAATAATTATCCCACACATTGAGCAAACCCATGTGGAGTTATGACACCAAGGTTACTCATTACCTAAATTGATGTTATTTAACAGTTAATTCTAAAGATAGCTAACTTATTTTGAAACCGTCTTTTTTATAATCATGACGATAAGACACTGGTGCTCCAGAGCCCCCCCCCCGTAACCCACCCACTGAAAGCCATTCGTAATGTTTATGAGTGTGTCTGTTAGCTAAAGCCATTAATGTGTAATTATCCATTACTTTTAGCTAACAATCTTCAACCTAAGTGGTATTAAATAAGATTTTTTTTTCTAAAAGCAAAAGGCATCTAATACTTCAAATTTTAGGCTACAGCTCATTTTCTTGATCTGACAGGAAAGGGCTGCTTAGATTTCAGACACCCAGAACTCCTTTTTAGACCAATTTACAGAGAAAAAGTACACGTTTTAGCAGCTGATGGGTGGGAGATGATTGATTGTCAAGTGCAGGCAGTAGAAGTGGCGATGAGCTGCAGTCTGAATATATGAGTTCACAGAAGATGTGAGGGAAGTGCAGCTGTTGACACCTTAATGGGAGCATGCACTTGCAATTTATTAACTTATTTTGTTCTCATTTTCAATTTTATATGTATGCTTTTTGAGTTGCAGTGCTTGCTTTATTTTTATTTATATTTTCTATTTAATATGTTTCTTCTGATTCTAAATGTGATTCTGATTGTACCCAAATCACACTTCTATTTATGTATCCTGCTATCCTCATGTTTGATTGTGTGATGTGTACAAATTCATGAGAGATAATGGTGAACTTTTAACCTCAGGCTGTTGGACTGTTACCTCTCTATGCATGTGTTTACTGTTCAGCAGAAAAACTCAGTGGCATTATGAAACCAATGAAACAAAAAAAATACAAATCACTTCTTATGATGTCTACTATATTGTATGATTATTCAAAAAAACAGCAAGCGTCAAATGAGACAATTCTGGAATAATCTTGCAGGGCATTTTGAGATGAAGAAAGCAATTTACAGCCTTTCACTTGCTATTATAGTATTTTTTTTTCTCTAACAAGCCTCTAACAAGGCTCTTAAGACACCTACCATGGAGTCACATCTTTACCTGGAGGGTGCACTCTAGGCATACAGTTTATGAAAAAATCTAAATAATTAGTGAGAGTTTTAATGCAGCATGAAAATCTTGAATGTCAGATAAGTAACAGCTTTTCTCTGCTTCCATGTGGAGAGGATTTTGCACAGACTAAAAGAGCAGCAGGAAAAAGAAATATCTGTGTTCAGATTAAAGCATTCAGTTCTGGCTGTTATGTAAGACAGAAAAAAATACTTATATTTCTTACAACATAACAAGCAGAATGTGTTGGGACATTTTTGATTGTCCCAACATACATTTTTGTGCAGAAAAAACAGCAGTTGCCATAATAATCTGAAAATGTCCTTAAGGTAAAGCCACCTTGCCTGTGATTCAATAAACTGCATCAACTGTGTGAACAGCCATAGGAAAGAAAATGTAAGAAAATGCAGCAGGAGAGTGGTGCAAATTGGAATGAGTCAGTCCTACAAAAGCCTTGCAGGTGTATAATTTAAGCACCTCAGGACATCTACTGAAATAAACCTGCTCTCAGCACAATTTATGTGGCTAGCACAACATGGCATAAAATTAATCCCATTTGAGCCATTTCTTCAACTGTTCAGACAGTTCTGAGATGTGACAAAATCCGGGTGGCTGTGGCTCAGGAGGTTGAGCTGGTTGCCCGTTAATCGGAAGGTTGGCAGTTTAATGCCTGGCTCTTCCAGGCTTCATGTTGAAGTGTCTTTGGGCAAGATACTGAACCCTGAATTGCCCCTGGTGGCTGTTCCACCAGTGTATGAATATTAGTTTCTGTTCAAGCACTTCGGATCAGTGTGACTGTGATGTAGTGTAAAAAGGGGTTTGAGTGGTTGAAAAGACTAGAAAGGCGCTATACGGAACACTTACATTACTTACTTTTTTTGTAGAGGATGCAGTTTTCCTACTTAAATAAAAAATTGTATGCTGAAATAACAGTAAATGGTTATTGATTTAATTGGTCACAACTGCCTGGTCAAAACATTGGTTTCTAATCTTTTTTGTGTGACCGACCCCCATAGCTCTATCAGATTAGCTCATGTACCCTTCACCATCTTATTCCTATTGTGATCTCAGTTTATATTTTTGGCATACAATTGATTACCTATTGTTCTACTATCAGTAGAAGCATTGATATATCAACCTTTCATTACTATTTCAGCTGTTTATCTATTACTTAAAGCTTATTTAAACTGCTAATTACTTTGAGATAAAATCTTCATCCATTAAATTTGAACACTTTATCCATAATTTTTTTGGTAATAGTTTGAACTGTGTCCATTAAATTTCAACACTTTATCCATCAAAGTTCAATTGTTTATCCATTACTTTTCACTAACAATTTCAACTGTTTCTAGATTTCTTTTTGCAAAAAATTTCAACTGTTTATCCAGTTCTTCTTGCTAACAATTTCAATTCTTCAATCCATTAAATTTCAACAGTTTATCCATCAAATTTCAACTGTTTATCCATTATGTTTATTTAATTATTCCATTCATACTTTTAGCAAACAATTTCCACAGTTTATCCAAACCTTTAGCAAACTATTTCAGCTGTTTTTAAATTATTTTTAGCTAACAATTTCAACTGTTTAGGCTATTACTTTTAACTTAAGTACTTTCTTAAAATATTTAATCTGCTCTGCTTGCTTGCTAACTGTTTCATGCACTGTCAAAGACAATTTTATTTATATAGAGCCAATTCCACCAACATGTGGTGTTCGATGTTCAATCTAACTGACTCAGGTTGTTGTAGAAAAAGGTGTGTACTATCTACTTGCGAGCATATTGTAGCTCAAAGTGTAGTTTTTAGTCTTTTATATGAGCTGAGCTACTCCACAATGCACACACACAACTGCAGAAATACCCCCTGGGTTGCAAGCGCCCCTGGTCCAGAATCATTGAATAAAAAGTAAATCCTGTACCAGATGTCACTGCAGAAAACAGGACCAGGACATTCAGTAGAGATATGGTACCAAAGTCAAAAATAACACACACTCATACTGCACAATCATTGAGCATACAGACACACAGACACACTACTGTAAATAAGCAACTGAACTGTCAGACTCTTATCCCACACATGCTCGCTGTTACAGATGCAAATGATTTACCTGCTCCTGCTATTTAAAACCTCATAATGTGATTACAAGAGTAGTGCTGAGGAATGGCAGAAGCCTCATACATATTCATCAGAGACCTGATTATTGAAGTTAGATGATTTATGTCTCCTCATGTCTGCTTTCAAGATGCTAACACTCTTGTTTTTCCTGTCATGATCTAGGCAGCGCAACAGATAAATGGGATATTAATCAGAAAGAGATGAATGAATTACAAAAGTAGACAAAAGGGAAAGGCTAGAGGCAATGAAAAGAAAACAGTGACATTGATTTATATAGATAGAATGCTGTTTTTCTTTGCATTTATTTAAATGCAAGTAAGCGATATTCCTGAAATTCAAATAAACAAGTAAGACTTTCCTGTCATTGCTGACATTGTTAAACTTTCTAAAACAAAGGCAACACAAGGAGTCACTGTCAGTACAGGATTTCTAATTAATTCTAATTAAATTCTCCATAAAGAAACAGACAATAATCATGTGGCTGACTGATGAAGAGTTGAGAGCTAGATGTTGTGAGAATGTATTGATTGAATTGATTCAATGATAACCACAGCTTGACAAACCTGAAGTTTGCAATGTGAGTATAGCTTGCTGCCTCAAATATTAATTTCTTCCATACAATATTTGACACATCAATATTAATATTGGTTTTTGATCACTGTGCACATAACTATTTGACAAACTCACATAAAAAAAATATTGACTGACTGAGCCACCATGTGGGCAACAACTATTACTACAGCTCTCAACCAGGAAATAGTATTTATATTAAATTAAAATAGACATAAGCCATACAATCTCCCAAACACATGTTCAAACTCATATATTATTTATTACAATTAAATATTTTTCTTATATTACAGAGGTCCATTTGAAACCATACAAATAATCTGTGCTGTGGTTAATATATCCAAGATATTTCCAAACACCATGCAAATAATATGAACATAAATTCACATCAGAAGAACCAAAGGTTAGGTTTTTTTTACAGCTGGGGATGAAATCAAATACATGTGTCAACACCTTCCCCCCTCTCTCTTTTTGGTGCAAACATTTCTTTGTGGTGATTCAAGATAAGACCAGCGTCATCTGACAAAAATGAAAGGCATTTGGAAGGTGGGTAAAAACACCAGTAACTGCTCATCCTCCTCTCTTGGATAATATATGGGTTAATGGGAACAGGCACAGAGGACCAATTAAGACATAAGTATCACATATCTTGATTAAACATAATTAGTTTGCTGAGTGATTCCTAAGGCCATGATATGTACTGTGTGTGGTTTCTAACTCTAATACAGAATACCCGGGGGGATATTAAATTGCAGAACCAAATCAGACCAAATGTAGTTTACCCAATTCTGCTTGTTGTATTGTGCTGTGTGGGCTTTACTGCTGTACATACACAATACTTCAATATTCAATGAAATGTTTCAGTCAGTGGAAAAGTTTTGAAACATAGACTGATAACCTTTGGTTTACTGAGCAAGACAGATTGAAATGGGAGGGTCTAGTCCTGAATAAACAATATGAAAATATTAATCTGAGGCTTGTTTTAAAGTCATATATTAATACATGAATTAATTTATAGTGAATTCTATTTTTGTAAATTACAAAATTAACGCCACCCTTTGTACAGGGAGCAAAGCAGAAGTAGGCAGGATGTGGGCATTTTCAAGTGCTACTCCACACACAATCTATCTTTTGACTATCACATTCTCACCCCCTGTGCTTGTAAGGTGGCTGTATGTAGTTTGTAGTTCCCTCCTTCATGTACTACAGCGCTTGTGGTCAGCTTAAAAAATGTTGGATACAAGGGATTCAAATAGTGACTATCAACCTCTGTGAAGCTCTGCCAGGCAGGCAGCTCTGTCTTAAGATGTATTTTGGCAAAATGTGATTGTTTGGAACATAATGAGCATACAGTTGGACAGCTGAGAGGTGGACTATCATAAAGAAGGGGTTTCTGTGGACATTTTGATTGACTTTTTGTCCACCATGAAAACCTTTAAGGAGTGAAATTCATTGCAACTGACAAATACCCATCTCACTTCAGCCGCTGTTCATCAAGAAGTACAAACTTTAAGCAATAGTTCAATATTTATGGGAAATACACTTATCGCTTTCTTGTCAAGAGTTGAGAAAATACCACACTCATGTCTGTATGCTAAACGTGAAACTACAGCCTACAGACAGCTAGCTTAGCATAACAAATTAAAACAGGGAGAAACAGCTATCAGCAAATTGTCCTTTTGTACATGATCCCCCCCCCCCCCCGACATGTTAATAAGTGAGTTTTAGAGGTGCTGGTAGCAGAAGTGTGTTGCCTTTTCCAACAAAACCAGGCTAGGTGTTTCCCTTTGCAGTCGTTATGCTAAGCTAGGCTAATCGGGTGTTAGCTGTAGCTTCATGAGAGCGGTATCGTTCTTCTCGTTTAACTCTAGACAAGAAATTGAATAAGCATATTTCCCAAAATGTTGGGTGTTGGGTGTTTGATACTGAAGGTCACTTTGAATTTGAATCAAACTTGAGCAGCATTTTGTTGAAATAAAAATGTTGATCAAGGATCAGTTTTGCCTTTCAGATTACATAGGGTCACATGAATGAGGTGGACCTGTGATGCATCTCAAGCATCTATCAAGGAATCAAGATCAGCACACTAAAAAGCTTCATTACCCCAGGCTGATATCGGTACACATTTCTAAATTAAAGGCTGGGAATGTTCACTAAGGCAGCAAGATCAAGGGCACAGGCTAATGGCAAGGTAAGTTTAAATCAGCATAGCATTCGGCATTTAAAGGTGAAGAGGCAAAGCTTTATCGTCATAGGAGAGATGACAGGAGAATGACAGGAAGCTGGGAGAGGCCAAGGTACGTTTTGGTCCTGCAGGTTAAGCATCTCTGGTCACATGTTAGCAGGTGTCCTTCAAACTGTATCTGACTGTAACTCCATATGTGTCCTCAAATCTGCATGGAGGATTTCAACATCTCAACACAACATTTAATAGGTTTGTATTGGGCAAGCAAGCTCAATCAGTCACAGAAATACTATTGCAAATGACTCACACACTTTTCATCTTAGACAGTGCAGCTAAGGAGGAGAGACAACTTCAACCTCCCTTCTAATGAGGAATGAAAGCCACTCATCTAAAACTCTATTCTTTAAAATTATCTTTTGAAAATAAATTATATTTTCTCAGTACAGAAATAAATACATATCTTCTCTCGAACATAGGAATGAATCATCATCACAGATCTAAATGCTACAATGAATACATTACTCACCATCTCATCGGTGAACAAACAAGAATATAGGTGACTAACTGAAGCCATCTGCCATTAACAGACACTCATCCAGATATATAAATGCAAATATACAGTTAGCTGACACCGGAGTCAAATCACACCTGTGGCAAACAGCTTTGAGAAAGTAAAATATTCCTCTGCATTGGCATAATATAAATGCCCTCAATGCTCGGCTCGTTGGACAGCTTCACACTGCGAATCAAATAAATTGAACTGTGCTTTCTTTGTAGAGTGCAGTTCTGTACTACATTGTGAAAAATCACCACTGAGGTGAACTTCAGTTACAGATATGACATAAAACCTACAATTCTCTCCGAAATTTACGAGAGATGTTGCCATTTACCTACAGGTCAATCACAATTACATGATAATGCAAATGTTATATAATAGAATTGTTTATGCTTTCTTGCCAAGATTTAGAAGAAAATATCGATACCACTCTCATTTCCATCCAGTAAATATGTAGCTGGAGCCGGCAGCAAGATAACTTAGCTAGGCATAAAGACTGGACAAAGCAAAACATCTAGCCTGGCTCTGTCCAAAGCAAACAGCTAGGCTAGGGAAAAAACAAGCACCCCATCCCACTGTTTCCAGTATTTATGCTAAACTAAGCTAAGCTAAGCTAAGCTAAGGCTAAGCTAAGCAAACAGGCTGCTGATAACAGCTTCATACATACTGAAGAGAAGAGTGTTTCAATTTTCACATCTACCTTTTGGCAAGAAAACGAAAAAGCACATTTCCCAAAATATCTAACTATTCCTTAAAACATCTTGAACACAGATGTTTACGTTTTCTGTAAATCGTCTGTATACAGTGCCTTACAGAGAAATGAAAAGTGTGACTAAATCTTCAGCCACTCAGAAATCTCTTTGTTTCTTGTGTCTTCTCAAGGACTGATGCGGCACAATAAGCCTCAGATTTCCTTGAGCTATAGTTTATCATTGAGACACATGGTGTGTCTGATATTTGTCAGGCAGACAGCAATTCTCATGTAACTTCAGCCTTTCTTCATAGATTTCGAATGTCACATTACTAAGAGCTACAGTAGCGTTTTCTACAGCAGAGTACGTTCCAGGTTCTTCCCACAGCTGCTATGACATCAGAGAGCCATGCCATATTAACTCTTACACAATATGTCAGACCACTACCCTTACTAAATAAATGCATGGCATGTAAAAAATGCACAAGGGATTTCAAAACAAAATTAGCTCATGAATCCTTCATCCAAAACTTTCCTCTCACACAGTCAGCATGTAGGTACTGTATGCAGCTAAAGTTGTGGAAGATGAGTAACATTATCTCACGTCCAATAGCATTAAGTGTCATGCCCCGTCAGATGCTACTGCAGGTTCTTGAGGAGGCGTCCGTAGCGGAAGTCATAGACGTGTCGACAGAAAAACACCAGCTCTGGGTCAACGTCATCGGGCACACAGTGGTGGGTGGGCATGGCATTGCCAACAACGGGTGGCACCACGAGGGAGGCGGCATTGTCGCAAACGCCTTCCCTACGCCGTTTTACCAAGGCACAAAATCTGGAAAAAGCACACAGGACATCAAACTCAATCACCTTCAAACTGTTTGAGAACTGAGAAAACCTACCTGCTTTTTATGTTAAACATCACACATTTTTTAGTTAATCCAGTGGATATAAAAAGGCTTTAAGGCTTCAAACAAGAGAACTGTAGAATTCTGAGCAGGTGCATGTAATATTTCAAAAGAAGTAAGTTCCTTCCAAGAAATATACTTCAAGGAAATAAGCTAAAGCCACCACAAAATGTAAAAAAAAAAAAAGGTTTCCTTTCTTACCGGCAATACTGTGCCAATGTTAGGACATAGCATTTGTCTTCAATACAGGCCACACTGTTCACATCCTGGTGACGAGACGCAAATATCTCATTCTGGAGAAAAGAAAGTTGTGTTTTAGTCAAGTGTCCAAACAAAAAAACTCCATCAACCATCAAGACTCAAAAGCAAACATTTGATCCTTTTAAGCCGTCACAGTCTGCACACATACACAGTGACTTCAAATGACAACATCTGTCTACTTCATTGTACACGAGCACTTGTGCCTCACCTTCACTTCACGATGTAAAGACAGATTCACAAGAGAAAGATGTTTTGCTTTCTTCCTCTGAGCCAAAGCCCTGCTACTGTTCTCAAACTGTTGCCATGATGTGTTTGTTGTTTGTTAGCGCAGCTGACAAATGATAGACTTCATGTCGTTTATTGTTTCTGGAGATTTAATAAAGTGCAACTTGTTCCTCTGGGAGATTACTGACAACACGAAGCTAGCGCAACAGAAGCTGCTGCTCAACACGTGTGTCTGCCCGTGTATGTGTGTTTGTTCATTTACTCTCCTCTCTTTGAAACGTATTTTCAGTTAGTCAGTTAAGCACAAAATCTCAGCAGTCTCCATTTGAAAGGAAATGTTTTCATTATCACGCAGGCTCTTACTGTACAAATAGGAACAAAAAGCATAACTAAAAGGGAAGAGGCTCAAGAATAATTGCTAGAAACATAAGTGTGTTACATTAGGTCTGCTGAAAACTAATCCTCAAAAAAGAAGAAGAACACCCCTTCATGACTATTATTTCCTTATATTGTGGCACCATGGACTGTCTGACAGGGCTTACACCATGGACACTTACCAACAGAAAAGGGACAGTGTTTAAAGGATAATGTTGGTTTCTTGTTGTCAACAAATCTCATAAAAAGTCCTAAACCAACAAAGTCTCAGTACTTTCCATTTGTAAAAAGAGATAAATAATTAAGGAAGCTGGGAACTTTTATTGATAAATAGAATAAATAGTACATTTTGGGGGGACTACTTTCAGCTGTGGATGAATACGTATTTGGAGCTAGCAGAGAGTACTAAGGCAACAGCACCGTGTCTGTGTGGGACTGACTCAAAATAGACTACAGGGGCCATGTTTATGATAATGAAGGGACTTGTCAACCAGACCTGCCGTGTGGCTCTTTGTTGTGTTTTTAATAGTTTTTGGACAACAATGGAGTTTAATGACACAGAGGAATGAGCCATACCAGGCTTTGAACACACAGACACAAGTTAGTGGGATGAATTTATTGTTGGTTTCTGTCTTTTTGTGGAGATTCGTAGGCAAAAAGAGAAATATAGAGTATTAGCAGCCTCATCATTCACATTGTCTGCCAGTTTTCTGATGGTTCATTTTCACCTAAGAGACTAATGTGGCATGAAGCATAAATAAATATTCTAGCCATGCTTACGTGAAGTTTAATATACCTTGCACACTGATTTAGAAACTATTTGCACATGGTTAACTGGAGCTATGTTTCAGGTGTCCTCGACTATGATAAATATGACACACCTGCTGACAACTCGGAAACCAGTATTTTCCATGAGCGTGGTGTAAAAGAGTTGGCTTCTCACCTCACAATGTAAACTGGGGTTGCGTCCCCCTTGTGTGTGTTCTGGACGGTAGTACCAAAACAAACTCATCATCAGCTCTCCTGAAGAAAAAACAACAAAGCCCCGCCACACACGTTTACTTCAGTTCTTGAGCCAGTTATTTCGGCATTAATTCAGATTCTTAAGTACACACGGTGTACAATATGTGTCCTACCTGACTCTGGCTCTTCCCACAGAGATGAGATCTTGGCCACATAAGGCAGAGACTTCTTCCTAGGTCCAGATTTCAGCAGAACAGTGTCTCTGACCCGAATCACCTCCCCGTCCCTCTGGACTCCCTCGAAACACTTCCTCAGCACCAGAGCCTCCTCTCCCTGAGAACACAGGCAGCACGAAATACTGACTTGGATGAAACTCTGAATTAGCCTTAATATGATAAATCGTCAGTTAAGTTAAATTACACCATACTTAATTACAAGGCACCAACATGGCTGCGTCACTAAGCACCAGCATGACTTTCTCTACGTACCACTGAGAAAACCTCCTTCTGAAAGGGCAGGCCAACTGGCTGCCAGCCGTTGGTGGTTTTTTGGCGGCCGTTCTTCGGCTGCTTGGCAACCGTTCGCGCTCCGACGCTGGCAGAGCCAAGCTTCTGTTTCTTGTCCCTGTTGCGAGGGCAGACAGCCACGCTGATGCTGCCGGTGCCGCGTGCGCCAGACCTCGACCCGCTGGGCGACTTGGCACTCTGCGGACACTCCTTCGCCACCTGCAGCGGAGCCTGCGGTTGGCTGGGGTCAGACAGCGGAGTCTGAATGTGGGGCACTGATTGGCCCGCTGGAGGCACAGTGGGAATGGGGCAGCCAGTGAGGATTCTGGGGCTGGGACAGATGGGGATGGAGGAGGGACTGTGATGGTCATTGAGGGTTGATGGGTAGTCATCTGAGGGAGGAAAAGAAAAGGCAAGATAATGAAGTTGAGTGACAGTGTGAAACATGTACACAGTCCTTTGAGGAGCAGCTAAAGTGATCAGCAACCTTTAACAAGGTTGCAAAATAAGACACGAACAACACTCAGTTATTATTAGTTCTGCTGATGCAGCAGAAAAAAAACTAACAAGAGCCTCTATTAAGGTCAATTATAGTCTTTAACAGAGCTGGCCCTCACACACACCGACACAAGATACACAATAGACATACCCATAAAGCTGAGTGAAAAACACCAACAGTATGTAATAACAGGTTGTGCACACTCCCTTGACACAGCTGTGGTGATAACATCAAAGATGAATTACTGATCAATTTATTTCAGAGTGGTCTCTCAGCACCCTCGATCCAAACTTCATTAGCACCCTTCATGTCCTCCACGGAGAATACATCAACGTTAGGCATCAAGCTACTTGGTTTACTGTTAGCCAACTGAACCATTAGCAAACATAGGTTAAATATTATTATTAGATACATACATGGACATACGTATCTAATAATAAAATAATAATTACGTAACATTAGAAAGGATTTTTTTTGTAATGGAGCCTTGGTTTTGCAACTTTTACTTAAAGCAAAACTATGTAATGTTTACTGAACAGTGGCCAAGTATCCAAAAGTGGTGATTTTACTATACTTGTAAATGGCAAAATGTAGCATAACATTACCACAAGTTCAAGTACAACACTTATACTCTGCATTGCATTAGCCTGCGTTATTGCTTAGCTGTCAAACAGACTTACAGACACAGAACTGGATGAGACAAGCAGGTCTCTCACCACAAATCCACATAAACTTTTAGCACCTCTGACAAAGTGCAGCTCACAGTCCCAAACAGAGCAAGTTTGGGCCTCAGCGATTACATTTTTATATTGCAAAACTACCAGCTAGGTTACCGCTCTGTCTGCCTGCGACTCACAGCCACTCTCAGCGCGAGGTGGGCTGTTCATCAGGTGCATTAGCTGGGATTTGCGCATTTGAGTCGAAAACTTTGTCTTGCGGCATCCTCGTGACATTTTGCGCTCTAGGCAACTACCTGTTGCCTATTCCACGGGCCGGTCCTCAGTAGTAGTAGTAGTTGTCTGGTTTATTAGATGAAGAGAATTGAAATTTGAACCAGGGGTGTATTGGGACTGAAATTCTGCCCGGGACTTTTGAGACGGAGAGGCCCTTTATACAAGCACCCTTTGGGGGCGCAGAGAAATATTTTTTGGACTTATTTTAATACAGTTAGTGTTTTTGTTGTATAAAGGGAATCAGATTATGCTGAAGACCTTTAAGAAACTTCAGGATGACACCTGCATCATTTTTAAATGTAAACAGATTTTAAACTGTGATCCTTATTCTAGTTTTGAATCGCAGCTTTTTACTATAAATAAACCTTCTGTTGTTTTGATTGCTGAAATCTATCATCCACCTAAGTACAATGATAACTTTATTTCTGAGTTTGCTGACTTTTTAGCTAGATTTAATTTGCAGTATGAGAGGATTTTAATTGTTGGTGATTTTAATATCCATATTTGTTGTGATGATGCCATTGGTTAAAGACTTTTTGAGTCTTTTAGTTTCACACAGTTTGTGTCTGAACCTACACATCAGCGTGGACATACATTAGATTTAGTTTTAAGCTATGGTTTGTCTGTGTCAGTTAATAATATCAGTGCTTTACCAATTTCAGATCACTCGCTGATATTATTTGACATGTCTATCCCTACTTCATTTAGTACAGGGAAAATGGTGCTGAAGACAAGGTTATCTCGATATATTAGCACTGGTGCTTTAAATTACCTTAATTTGAAACTACCAGATGTGATGGAGTTTTTAGCCAAGCCATTTCGGTGGATTGTCTCATAGACAACTTTAATGGTGCACTCTGGGATTTGTTGGAGTGGGTGGCTACAGCTAAGACACGGAAGTGTCCTCCAAAAAAATCATACACCTTGGCTAAATGAGGAGTTACTGACTCTCAGAAAGAGCTGCAGGAAAGTTGAATGTCAGTGGCACCATACTAAGCTTGAAGTTTATTATAGGGCATGGCATGACAGTCTGACCACCTATCAGTCTAGGATGGCTACTGCAAAGGCAGCTTTTTATTCTAATGTGATTATGAATAATATGCATAACCCTAGACTTTTATTATTTGACACTGTTGATAGACTTACACAGTGTCAGCAGCCAGTAAGTAGTACAGATTTGTCAGCACATGATTTTATGATGTATTTTTATGAGAGAGTTGAGGACATCCGAACTACGATACCCCAGTCAAATGTTGGGGGATTAGACTGCGCTATCACAGGACCATTTTCTACAGGACAGGGCCACTCTGATTTTGAGCAGATTTCTTTGGCTGTGTTAACTAAAACTGTTGTGACTGCAAGAGGAACTACTTGCTCTGTGGATCCCTTGCCTGCCGGGGTTGTTAAAGAACTATGGCCAACATTAGGATTGTATGTTTTAGCTCTCCACACTGAGATGATAGCTATTGGACCAGGTAGATTAGGTCATTTGTATGCTCTCCACAGGAGATTTTCTGGCTTGCTTCAAATCTGCAGTGGTTAAACCATTATTGAAGAAACCAAATCTGGATATAAACTCGTTGGACCTATTTCTAATTTGGCCTTCTTATCTAAAGTCTGAGAAAGTGGTCTCAAATCAGCTTTAAAAATATCTGTCATCTAATAATCTTTTTGAGACACTGCATTCTGCTTTTCGAGCAAAACATTCTACTGAAATGGCACTCACAAAGGTGGTAAATGATCTGTTACTGGCTGCTGACTCTGTCCTTTTGTTGTTGGATCTTAGCGCGGCTTTTGATACTGTTGATCACTGTATTCTTTTGGACAGAATCGAGAATACTTCGCCATCTCTGACCAGGTGCTTAAGTGGTTGAGATCTTACCTTTCAGAAAGATCTCAATGTGTATTTTATAATAACACATTTTCCGACCCTTCACCACTTCAGCACGGGGTTCCAAAGGGTTCTGTCCTTGGTCCTCTGCTGTTTTTGTTATACTTCGTACCATTGGGTCAGATCATTCGTTCTTTTGGGATTGCTTTTCATTGCTATGCTGATGATTTACAATTACATATGCCAGTTATTGCATCTGATTTGGTTAAGTTATTGACTTGCTTGGCTGCTGTGAGGAGCTGGTTAGCAGCAAATTTCTTGCTACTCAACTCAACAAAACCTGAGATGATAGCTATTGGACCAGGTAGATTAGGTAATTTGCATGACAATTTTACCCTGTCCATTGATGATTTGGTCATTCATTGCAAGGAGAGAATCTAGGGGTCATTTTTGATCGATCACTTTCATTTGATTTGCATATTATATAAGTGACAAAAGTAGCCTTCTTTCATCTCCTAAGAATAACAAAGATTAGGTCCAATTGGCACTTAAAGATGCTGATGCCCTTATTCATGTCTTTGTTACATCTAGGCTGGACTATTGTAATGTACTGTTCTCTGGGCTGCCTAAGAAAAGTTTGCGAGGTCTGCAGATGGTCCAGAATGCTGCACCACGTATTCTGACTGGATCATCTAAATACATGCATATAACTTCTGTGCTGGCCTCACTGCTCTGGCTCCCTGTTCAGGTTAGAGCAGATTTTAAGGTTTTGTTGTTAACGTACAAAATAGTGAGTGGCCTTGCATCATTATATCTGTCTGATCTTTTAAATTCTTATGTGCTTCACGGTTGCTGCGCTTCCACGGGACAGGACTTCTGACTGTACCAAAGGTTAGGAAAAAAACGGTTGGTGAGCGAGCCTTTTCGTTTTTTGCTCCAACATTTTGGAACAGTCTTCCAGCAGATATTAGGCTGGCATGTTCAATTGAGGTTTTTAAATCAAAGCTTATGACCTACTTATTCACGGCTGCGTAGGAGTCCTAAATGTTCGTTTATCTTTGATGTCTTTGTATAGTGGTATTTACTTTTCAGCGTTTCAATTTAAATTTATTGTACTGTTTGTATTTTAATTGTATTTTCCCACTTTGCCTGAAAAATGGCGTACGCCCAAACAAATTCAGAAACGCACAGTTGTAAGCAAGTTCCCTTTATAAATCACAATCAACTTGAAATGTGGCACATGTGAGCGAGCTCTATGTCCGACCCTTCAAAAGCCCATAGTTGCCTATAAATGGTCAACAAAACGCCCTTAATTAATATTAATACGTAGTGACGGCAGGAAGAAAAGGAGGCAAATTCGAAATCGAAATTTAACTCAGTGTGACACTGACATTCCTTTTGGTGAAGCTGATGCATGTTGGTGGGTAAAAAATGCACACAGCGCTTGTGCACTGGAGGAAAGGGGGCACTGGAGCTCCACTCCTTTATAACCGATCTGCAGAAAGCGGCATCCCTCTTGAGTAGTGAAGTCACTGGTTGGAGGGGGGACACACACGCAGGACGGGATGACCCAGGTACTAAGTTGGATTTCCCCCGTTTGAAAAGAGATTAAACCAAATGCATTTTGCTTGGTTTTAAACATTTATTTAGGCAATACAAACAGCCCACTCACTAAACAAGGCTGCCGATGAGTTAAAAAAACTATGACTTGTTGTAAATAGTGTTATATTTCCATAATGTGTTTTTACAAGCAGCATATCACATCCACACGCTGGTGCGCGTTTGGCTCGAAAAGGCAATGAACATCTGATAACAATAGGCTATATGAAACTATGCACTCATATTTGCTCGACTGACGCATTGAAAACGGCATCAATTTAAATGTAATTTGTCCTCCTGTTAACTTTATTTATGAGAATAAATTGCACTGCATGCATGTAGACCTATTAATTAATATGATTCTGGATTAAACTGTTCAACATATTTGAGGCGTTCTTTTGTAGAAACAGATATCTCTGTGTTTATTATCCTAAATCTGGATCTTTTGTGCGCTGCAAATTATCTTAAATTGTGTTTTTTGCGCACTTCAGGTAAAATAAATCAAACGGGTGTTTGTTCATTCAGAAAGGCTTTAAGCCTGCAATACGCAGAGGTAATATTTCAATTTATTTTACACAATAGTAGGCCTATTCATTTCAAATTGTTTCATCCTTCTGCCATGTGAGTCGCTATTTCTCATTTCTCCTCTTTATGTACGTACGCATGGTTCAGAGTTTACTTACACATTCTCCCGTCAAGTTTGTTTTTTATAGATCACAACCTTTGCTTGGGAAGTGGCCTACGCACTTTTCCCTGTTTTGTAGGTACACACCGTTTATAAATGAGACCCCAGGTCAGGCAAGCCTGAGTCAGTCAGAGTGCAAAAATACTTAAATATACTCAAAAACTACAATGCATTCCCATAAAATAGAGCAGTGTGTGTATGTGTGTGCATAAAAATGAAATCTCTCATCTTTAGGTCTTAATATCCCTGGCTCAGCTTCCCCTGTGCTTGCCACCACGCTTTTACTGATTGTACAGCTACATATGCACGAGATGAACATCAGTAATAAATATGACTAACAATAGCCCATTTTCTAATTCTATCTATGCATAATATGATTGCCTACCCATCCCTGCACACTGCCCCTGTACCTGTCACTGTTTTGTCTGGTTCCACTGACCTTCTCCTCCTCCTCCTTCTCTCCCTTCTCATCAACATGACTGGGTTCATCATCAACCTGTCCCTCTTTATCACCCACCTCGTAGGGCAGCTATTCGAAAGGTCGGCGGTTCAATCCCCGGCTCCTCCAGGCTGCTCGTCGAAGTATCCTTGGGCAAGATACTGAACCCCGAATTGCCCCTGGTGGTTGTTCCGCCAGTGTATGAATGTGTGTGAATGTTAGTTTCTGTTTGAACACTTAGGCTCAGTGAATGGTGAATGCAGATGTAGTGTAAAAGAAAAGACTAGAAAGGTGCTATACAAATACGGAGCATTTACCTCCACTGACCTTAACAGCTAATAAACATACAGAGATCCCTCGCTTTTAGAAGGATGTTGTCTTTGTTTGTAAACTGTTGTTTATAATATAGGCAATATAAATATATATAGCCTAATGTATATGCCTACACAGAAATGCATATATAAATAATTCAGTTTATAATAAATGCATTAGCCTCCTAATCGTGCATCTGCAAAAACGAGTATCAGTCCAAGTTGGGAGGGACCACTTGTATACCCCCTCAATATTGAAAGTAGTGGTTTGGCCCAGTCTGATAGACTCACAGACAGCGTTTGCTGCAGCTGACCAGCTGGCCAGTGCGGTCACGGATCATAAGTAAAACATTAGAAACTGAAAAATAAAAAGTCCTGAAATGGACCGGTCGTTCTTGAATATTCCCAAACGCCCCGATGGTCGATCTGCCCCTGGACTGAGCCATTGCAATTCGGAACCCTCACCTCTAGATGCCACAAAAACTTACACATTGAACTTTTAAGTTAAGGATGCTAATAAATCTGCCACCACTGCAGTAGGGCTGAACGATTTTGGAAAATAATCTAATTGATTTTTTTTTTTTACCAATATTGCGATTGCGATTTAATATGCGATTAATTTTTAAGCTCTTTACCTTCTGTATTATTCAAAATTGACAAGCAGTAAATCAAGTGTATAGTGTGACCAACACAATATTAGCTAGATTAAACATACACTGTTCTTTCTTGTAGGTCAGGCCTGTGTTATGATGAAATTTGGTGATGCATGAATTGCATGAATTATTATTATGAGCTATGGTGGAGAAGAAATACAAAATTTTAATAATATGAGAAAGATAATTTGAGAGTCAAGTCATGGCATTAAATTTATATGATATAATATCATCAGGTCGGCCTACCTACAGATCACAAGAACAAGGTTTACCACAGTGTGTTATATAGTAAGTGCTCAATACAAAACCCACAGTTCAACCACCAATTAATGAGTCCTTATCTCAGTTCAAATCTCCTAGGAGTCCATCTTTCTGTATCCCAGTAACCAAACAAAAAATACTCAGTTTGACGTTCAATTAAACAGTTGGCCAACGAAAATAAAACCAAGTGAGCCTCTTGTGTTTAATAGACAACACTGGAGTTCCCCACCCCCGCAGCCTCCGATGCTGGCGAGCAGTGCACTGGCTGTAACTCGGGACAGACTGGGCCTCTTTTGGACTTGTGCATTTAGTTTTAAACTTAAAAGATATTTCCTGAGCTGACTGATGGCTGTGTGTGTGCCGATCGCCACAATACGCTTACCTTACTACACGTGTCTTCACCCACCACCACCACCAAGTTACCCGCGGGTGGCAGGTGCTACTTTCATTCCCTGTGTGACACTAAAGTTTTTGTAGTGTCAGCTTCTGTCAAGCAAGGCCATTGTACAACAACAAGTCAAGGTACAGCGTAACGTGCAAATTTATGCTTCCTCTGCAGACTGCTTTACTCTTGGGTGTCATGTGACTAGATTGTAACCGCAGCCTTTGCGATTTGAAAATCTCGTTATATCGCAAATGCAATTAATCGTTCAGCCCTACTGCGTAGACAAATTACTACATCATGATTTAATTATTTTATTTCAGCTGCACACCCATTCAGGTGGCTGAGGTGAAGCCTTGCTGGGAATAACATGAGGTTACTAAAGTCCACGTACATCAAACACGTGCATCAAATAAACAGAAGAGCAATGGAGATGTCAATCAAACCTTATCTGTCCGGACCCATTCAGTAGTGAGAAGATATGACACATCATAGCAGGAAAAGCACAGGTAGTACTAATAACATAAATGCTGTTTCTGTTCTATTAAAGTGTCCTTGTAAGCCATGACGACAGTGTGACAGTGAGCCAACATGCACAATTCCAGGATAAGCAGCTAAATAGAATTCACCCATCATTAATTGTATTATTGCTCTTCCTACAGTGACAGGTCAAAATGCCCTTCATGAAAAAGAACTATCTGTGAAAACCCTCACAGTCTGACCTGGTTTTGGCTGCTGGAGACCACAGAAAGAGGTAGAGAGTGTGCGGCCGAGGTGCTGCAGCACACTGGTGTGTGTTCATGTGTAATTAGCGCTGTTTTGAGGTCACGCTCAGGTGTTGTTAATCATACATCCACACTTTCAGGCAGACACACAGACTGTCGCATACGCAAACTCACTGCTTTATGTGTTATACCGCAGACAACATAAAGAGTTTTCCTGTTTAGGTTCACATCTCTGAGTTGTCCACAGTGACGAACTGCTGACACTCGAGCTCATACAATCAGCTCATTAGATTTCAGCAGCACAGCCGTGTATTCACTGTTTGGCTGCTTGTATTCAAACTTGGACAAAAGAGGTCTTGCCCTTTATCTGATATTTTTTGTTACTTCCCACTCATGTGACATTCCAAAATGGGAGATTAAAAATGCCTGACATAATAGCTATTGTCAGCACATTGTACTGCTTTGGCCGCCAGATTAGGGAGAGCACTGCATACAAAATAAGATAATAACTCTAGTGTGTTCATGAATGTTTAATACTTCAATGTAGGAAATCCTACTGTCGTACTTAAAGGGGCAAATTGTTTCACATATGTTCAGTTTCCTTGTCATAGGGAGTGCTACTCACTCAGCGCAAATGGTTGTTTAATTTTAATTCTGCAGGGAGCTCTCTTAAGTCTGAGAAAAATAACCCTGATTATGTCATCAGGGTCATCTCAGCGTGGAAACATTTATAACAGGAAGCCTCCGTTACAAACTGGGGACCGGGGAAGTGAAAGATGTGGGTATTTACCATGCAGAGGAAGATCAACAAAAGATACTACTACGTTGCAGGTTTGGAACTTGACCTATAACAGGGACTACAAATCAGGATTTCTCTGCCTCTGCCGCTTCAGTCTTGACCACTTTTGCGAGCCTCCTGACTTTGTGTAAATGTACCACTAAATCGCTGGAGTAGCCTTTTAATCAACCCTGCATGATCTCACACACCGTTCTTACCACCACATAACATCTTTTTCTACCAGAATATCTGCACACAGCTGTACTTTTCGAGAGATGACACTCAAATGCTTACAAAGCCTTACTTTACAAATTTTTGTTTGTTCTTTTGTTTTTGCTTTTGCATTTTCCCCTTCACCTGGTAACTGACAGTAGAGACACACTGGTAGAGAACCAAAAGGATGACATGCAACAAAAGCCAGCCGGAATTGAACCAGAAACTATTATATTATATAATAGTATTATATATTATATAAGTTCAGAATCTTAGACCACTAAGTCAAAGGGTTGCCCTTCTACGTTTTTTCTTTAGAAGGTTTTTTCTATGGCTTACTTTACTGTTTATGTGAAAACAAATTCATATCATAACCTTTTCAGCCTTATAAACTCTCTGCCACAAATAATAAAGTGGGTAAAATTAAGCTGATGTGACATGTGGCTGAAAGCTCCAGAAAAGCAATGAATAGCAATGAAACTGCTTTTTCCAAAATCAGAAATGAACCTTCAAGCTCAAGATTTCATGGAAGTTCACCTTGACTACATCACTGCCGTAGCAGTAGCAATAAGTAAGCACATCATTTGAACATCTAAAAATGAAGGAGATAATGGACACTCTACTGTCCTTTTGCCTTACATCTGAAGCACTTAAGGAAGTTGTCTGTGCTGTTACGTTCCTGTAAGTGCTACCAAGACAGATACCTGTGCTATAACTCACTTTGGTGAATTCTTCAAAAAACCTATTCTGACACACTGCTGGAGGTTGACAAAAAGTCTGCTCACCTCTTTTGATGCCGTGGTTACATGTGGTGCCGTCTGTGGGGCTGAAGGAGCACCCTCCTCTGGCCATGGGTGGAATCATACTGGTATAGGCAGGGTAACCGTTGACCCTGCAGGGCTCTCCGTAGCACGCCTCCACTGAGGTGCAGCAGTACACTGGATGGCTAATCCCTGAGGGCTGCGGATCGGTGCTTGGGAGCAGCTTGGGTCTCTTGCCGCGCCTTGGGCACAAAGCGAGGGGTGATATGGGAGAAGGGGAGTTCTCCGGGTGGCTGAAGTGGACATAGTAGCCAGGGAAACATGTGTACGTGTGTGGGCTGATGGTTATGGCTGCTGGGTGGGCTACGGAGTGGGTGGACTGAAGATGGTGGTGATGATGATGGTGGTGGTGATGGTGGTGGTGAAACACCTCGGAGAGTGAGCCTTCCTCTGGTTCCTTGAAGGTCTTGTCCTCCAGAAAGAGGGCCAGTCTGTGACAGTACTCGACACACCTCTCCTGGGAACAGCAGTAGCAGGAAGACACCTCAGTGTCCACCTGCTCCTCTTTGATTGTTTTCAAGGAGAATCCCAGCGAAGAGCCACAGTGGACCGCATGTTTGAGACACTCCATTCCTCCTGTGGTGCCCTTCCACTCTGGATCTGACACCTCGCTTTTGCACAAACTACAGCAACCCTGGATGGTAGAGCCCTGCTGGGAATGAACCGGATCCTCTGTACCCTGTTTTCTGTGCTTTAGTTGGTCCTCATGTTTGGGATGCGTTGTTCTTTTGGTCAGCGTTGTTCCTCCACACACTTGTTTACCGCTAATCTCATCCTGAGTCGTTGCTGCTGCTTCAATCCCACTCCCTGGCTTGGGCTCTGTCTTCTTTTGCCGTTTGGTTCCATACGTGGCACTGGTGAGTTTGAGCAGCGTTGCAGCAGTGAGGCCTGCCTGACGCCGAGGCGTTGGTGCAAACAAAGCCAACCAGTCGATGTCCTGAGCCTCCGCTGCTGACCGCCCCTGTTTTTTAGGTCTTTCTTTTCGGTCCGCTTTCCCTCCTGGAAAAACCTTTTTGGTTTTACGACCTCCATGTTCAGTTTCAGAGAGCCTATCTTTAGCTGGATCTTCAGTTGAAGGCTGACGTTTCTTTGTGAGATTTGACACGAGAGAATCGTCTCTGTAGAGCAGCAAGCTGTTGACAGCCTCAGCATTGAGGGAGGCCATTCTCCGCCTCCGGGGCTCAAGGACAGTTGCGGGCAACTTGAGTAAGGCGTCAGATTGGTTGATATTTGGTTCCAGTGCTTTCTGATTGGCTCTTTTCTTATATCCTGATTTGGTCCGTCTTTGAATGGAGCCGGAGTGCAGCTTCTTTTTGACTTTGTTTTGTTTCCCAATTTTTGGTGCATACTTCCCTTTACCCACAACTCCTTTCTCCTCGAGGCGGGTGAGCAGGACACAACAGTCCAGTGCATCTCCATCACCCACTGCCAGTGTATTCTTTCTATGTCGATGTGACTCTTTCCTATCCTTCTTTTTCTTTCCCCTCAACTCAATCTTTCTCTCTTTCCCTTTTTTCACACCACCTCTCTTTTCCTTGCTTCCCTTCTCCTTTCGGGGCTTCCCGCGTTCCTCAGGCTGGCTCCGCTGGGCTTTCACCATGGTCTCAGCGTCCTGGAGCAGATTCACCACCTCCTCTTCATCCACAGGGTCCTATGATGGCAGGTTTGAGATCAGAGAGACCCTTCAGTGAGCATCATCATGGGTCATCACCTGGGTCCATACACTCTGCGGAGACACACAACGTCAGACATTTGACTTAAGCTGAAACTTAAGCCACACAGTGACTTCACTCTTGTAGAATCTGAGTGACTTAATGTAACAGACAAGATCTCTTGATGCATTATTTAACAACTGGTTTTACTCAGTTTTCTGTCAATTTCCACATCCCCGGGGAATATGACCACTTAGACAACCTTTCTCCCTAACATGCAATCACACTGCACACACTGGATGGAGAAGAGTGATGAAGAGCATATTAAGTTTAAGTCGGAGGCCATATGTACTCCAGCCTCTTTTCAATTTGTTATGTTTTAGTTTAAATTTTGCTTTTTTAAAACTTCAGTAATGATGTATTAATTACTTGTGCTACATGTTTCGATTTAGGATTGCAGCCAAATAAAATTTAAAAATTGCCTTTTTGTCCTTTGCACCAGTAACGACCATTTTCAGCTCCTTGAACCCATGCTGAAGCACATTAATGACTCACACAATCCACCAGGAGCCCAACATTACAAGCATTCACCCACTCTCTGCTAAAACACAGAATCGCTGAGCAGAAACAGGTGAGGCATTTAGGTGGTGGATTCAATGTTTGATATGATGAGTGCTTTTAAAAGTGATTTGCATCTGTAATTCACAATTCCACACCAATTTAATTTTAGCCATAGCTACAGCCTGTAGCTGATCCCAGTGGTTTACCAAGGAGAAGGTAATTAAACATAAAAAGACTGCACAGACTGTTCTACCTCGAAGGTCTGCATATTTTCAATCCTACAAAGTCAAAGGAGCAGCAAACTCTTTAAATCACTGTGAGGTATGAAATTAAGGAACAAATTCTCCAACATTTCGGACACCCAAAAACAAACAGTATGATCAAATGACTCATGAATTTATCCTTATTTCACCAAAGCTGGCGGCATTTGTCACACAATAGCCTCTTCAGTTACCATGTCAACAGGCAGTTACAGAGTACATCAAAGCATCTCTAGCAACGTTATAGTAAAAGACGCATAATATGCTTTCACAATCCTCTGCAATTCACACAAGTCTTCCTGCTCTCAACACAAAACACTTCACTTATTAAAGTTCCTGAGGATTCAACTGCCAGTGACCTTTATGCAATGGCACCCCTGTGTGCAGCATAAAGAGATGGATCATCCTCCTTGCTGCAGCCCTGAAACACAATTATGCCACTTGATCTCCAAGAACTGAGTCAACATGGGTCTTTTTTATACTAAGTGATTCTTCGGCCAGAAAGCCATTGAGCTTTCACAAAAACACACTCTCAAAAATTATCCAAATCTTAGTTTTCATTTATACCTGACAAAACATGATCAATAAGGAGACTTTTTAACCAACTGCTACTTCTGATGGCACATTAAAATTACTATTATACTCAGGTTGGTATATTTACATTTTTACACCTGCAACATTTGTGACGTACGTAAAGTCAATCAAAAACTATTCATTACGCTGCTTCCAGTGTGTTGCAGAAAATACTACTAATTACAAGCTGAGCTCACATGAATGTAAGGCTACAACTAACTATTGTTGTCAGAACTGATTCATCTGCAGATTGTTGTCTCTTGGTCTACAAGTTTGTTTTGTCCAACTAATGTCCACAACCCACAAACATTCAGTTTATGGTGATATCAGAGAAAAGCTGCAAATACTCAAACTGGAGAAGCTGGAACTAGAGATTCTTCTGGGATTTGTGCTCCCAAAAATCTATTTCAATAAAACCAAACTAATCCAATAATGTACTAACTGTTTGAGCACTACATAAATGATCTAAACAGTATACATGCAAATTGAGAGAAAAAGTTGGGATTTATTTCAGATCCACAGGTGCAGAAGAGATACTTCATCAACAAGTGAAGGAATAGCAATATCTTTCAATTTATTTTGAATGAAAATGCATCACCTCACACATAACATCCCAACTTCATGTAAAATCTGGCTTTTTGCAATCTGCAATCTGCAATCATACCTCTGATCAACAAGTGTCAATACTGGACGGGGAAAAGATTACTCCCTGCAATATCTCCAGAAAGTGAACAGCTTATTTTATGCACTTGAGTTTTAAAATGACTTTATCTTTTATCTCATCCAACAAAATCTGCTGTTCTTTTACTTTGACAACTTGCCAACATGTAACAACTAATTAAGCAGACAGTGTGAGCTTGATTGTGTTTCTCAAGAATTCTTTTCCAGATCTTCTACACTAAAACCTGAACATTCCTTGTGACTCATAAGCTGTTGCAGCATTTTTTTGTCATCCTACATAGAACATACCCATGGTCGAGCCGGACCACAAATGCAGACCCGCTTTGACTCTGGAGTGGACTCAACTATCTGGCTGGACATTTTCAAACCATCTCATAGCTCAGTCTGCCTTTACTGCCAAATGATTCGGTGAACCGTGAAATGCAATCCATGAGAGAGAAATTTAATTTCCAGATAACAAGAGGACAGAAGGAGCCTCACATTGAGTTTCTGTCTGCGGATATCAAATCAAGTTGCTTCATTTGAATAAGACAAGCATGCACAGTGTAAGGACAGGAGCTCATTGAAGAGTATCATTATATTCCCTGGCTAGAGCAACAAATAAAACAATAGATTTTTAGGTTAAAATGAATACTGTGGTCTTATATTTCCTTGCTTTTTCATGCGAGTAAGAAACTTAGAACAGGTTGCCATTTTAGAGGCACTTTGCAACACTCGGCCTGCACAGCAGCAACACCAATAGCTGCACGCACCCACACACTTTCACACACACAGGTTCCTGAAAACCTCAACATTTGTTTCAGGACATTGCTTTTGATTAATTATTTAATTAAATAATAAACTTTGAAAATCCTGCTTGGCAAGTGTCCAACATATATATATATATATATATATATATATATATATATATATATATATATATATATATAGTTTTTTTTTTTTACAGGTCCTTCATTTTATAACAATTTCTTGTATTTCATAGGACTACCCAATTCATGGTGCCCTTGCTATATGAGCACTGTGGAAGATTTTGCCCTCACCTTTAAGTTTAAAAATGCGTAGATGACCCACTCATTATTGACTGAAAAGACGACACTTACAGGATGTTCTCTGTAGCTTAATTTTGTTGTTTAAAGTGGTCAGGGTTTAAGAAATTAATCTGAGGGGGGGCAAAATGATTTATTTATTATTTTTCAGACTTTTTTCTACTAACTGAAATACTGATGAGTTTCATATTTTCAGGCCTCTTAAAAGTGTTCAAGTGAAATAATGTGAGAGGGGAAAAGCATAGACAAATTAAACCTGTGATGAGGGGTTAGAGGAAAGCATTGCTTTGTTTTAGGGGACTATGAGCCAAAAAAGGCTGGGAACCATTTAGATCTGAGTGATGTCCACTTGTCATCCCCCTTATTGCAGGTTACCTCGGTGTGGACATGAGTGGTGAGCAGGTTAACTAAAGAGAGATTTTTACATCCCGGTTTGGATCATTTAAAGAATTTTTAAAGGCCTGAAAGCCTCCAGTATCAAACAAGTCAGAAAAAATGTACATGACTTTGTGTCCTGTTCATCATCTCGTGACCCCTCACACTTACCCTTTCCAGAACTATTTTAAAAGAAACAAAAACTCAAAATTAGATAACAGTTTAAATAACAATAATTTTGTGTTGGCCTACCGGATATATGCTTGTCTCTCTAATCCCCCTTTTTTAAATTATCTTGTGACCCCCAGGTTGGGAACCACTGATTAAGACATGTTTCTACTTCTGAAAATTACAGAGGATGTTTAAAAAAAACAATGTCTTAAATGGCATGCAATTTAAAGTAAATGGAGCACAATTGACACATAAAATCCACTTAGTAATGATTTTGTGTCAGGGATTTCACCCGCTCTATCTCTCCCCTCCTGATGGCATATTAACTGACTGTAGTTTCATCTGTACATATAGAAGAGGAGGTGCCTGGCTGTCACACAGCCTCCTCCAGAAGGAAGGACACGGTGTAGGGCTGTCATCATGGGAGAAAAAAAAACAGAGGCAAGGAGCTCTCAGGAATCTAAGCTGGTGTGCTGCTTCAGATATCACCCCAAGTCCACTTTCCTGGAGGAAAAATCATCAGCTCAACACTCCTACACCAACACCACTAACACCAACAGGAACCATCCTCCACCAGCAACACCTCCATGCACGGTTCAGACACCAGCAGTAACAAACACACCCACATCCACTCACAGATCTGGATCATATTAAGCAGAAAAGGCAAAGATGGGCAGCGTTATGCATGTATTGTAACCTGGTCTGTGTAAAAGCAGATTCGCCTACTGGAGCTTGTAGTTGGCCATGGTGGTGGACGGTGTTAATCTGACAGCATGCCGTAGCAGGAGTGCAGGCTGTGATATGAGAAGTGAAAAAAGCTCCTCAGCGGCGAAACGAGTCTAAAACATCCGAACATCCTCGATCAATCCGGGGTTTGGAGCGGAGCCGCTAGTTAATATCAATATCATTAGGAGCTCGTGTTACAGGGCGAGTTGTTAGAAGCAGGGCTACACACCGAGCCGATATCTCCAACTGTGACGGGAATTACAGTCGCGATTCATCATTACCTTATGCGTCCCGTCGGAAATTACAAAAAAAAATATCCAGTCCGTCTTGTTTCTGATGGTCAATTTCTACTCGATTGGGTTGTCGACCTGGGGAGCGATCCGCGGACCAAGCAGCCCACAGTAGCTGGAGACATGCTGAACAAATCGGTGAGCGGTGACCTACTTCCGAAGTGGCTTGCTGGAGATAATATTCATGCGCTGCCTGCATTCACATTCGCCGTTGCACCGGGACATCCCTCTATAACGCGAAATCTCAGTGCTGTAATATTCCTGCAGGGACTGTCCGCACATCATGCATCAAAAGTGAGGATTTTTAAACCCACTGCGCGGCAAATTTTTTTCTATATCTTGTGTATCCCTAAAAGAAATATGCACGTGTATTTTATTTTACCTCTGCAAT